TAACTTTTTTGTTTTTCCTTTTCAATGAGCTGTAGAGTTTGAGGGAAACAATTGCCAAGCATGATTAATATGCATGCTGTGTGTTAATGGTTCGCCGTATCGTTTGATACGCGACTTATTAGTCGATATGCGATCTTTTTTTTAAGTATAATACGCGACCGGTATTGACCAGTTTACACTAATTTTGTCCGAATTCGTTACACCGCAATAGCGATCAGAGACAGATCTAAGAATTCATATGAGGGAAGCAAATTAATATAAAGGGATTTTTTCATAATTTCAGTGAGGGCAATTTCAAAATTTTATGGGTATAAATACAAAAAATATAAATTTAGGGATATAAAATGTAATAATAAAAAAATTTAGTGGGGCGGATGCCTCCATTAAACCCTTCATAGGTCCGTGCTTGATCACCACCGATACTAGGACTATGACCGATACTGTTTGTGTGAGAGAGAAATAGAGAGCAGGGGGGAGGAATAATATGACGGTCAAGCAACCACTTGGAGTAGAAGAAGAATAAGGTGACACAGAGATCCTTCAATGAGAATACAGTAGTTAAGCAGTGAAAAACACATGTTTTCTTCTTTCTCAAAGGTCTTGAATTCGCCTAACTCATGAAAAGCACTTTTACCTTTGAATTTATATAAAGTGTTTTCCATGCTTTGCATGTCTCCAACAAATTAAATCAAAACGTACCCTTCTTAGTCAATTTAGTAAGGCTTTAATGGTTTTATTTTATGCGTGGAAAACCATTAATTTTGTATTATATCATTATAACAAAATGGTGGTCAAGGAAAAAAAGGACAAAAATTAAAAGTGGCTCATTTAATTCCACCAAAAATTTCTTTCAAAAAGACAAAATATTCAACAGAAATAAAGCAAATCTGGTTTCATGTTTTTCTTGTTGTCTGAACAAAATCAAAGAAAATATATGACATTTTGACAGTTTATGGAGAACCGTGCATGCATTTAACCCAATACATAACATTCTTCAAAACCCACTTGCTCAATAGTAAGCACAAATAAATAAATATCCCCCAAATTATCCCACTAATTTTAAGTTAAAAAAAAAAAAAAAAAAAAAAACTCTAAACTACAGAAGTTTTGCAAGTAATCCATTTCAGTCATTGTTAGTGTAATAATAAAATTACATGATTGTTCTTACAAAGTTGAAATTAAATTTTGGAGTTAAAAAATGATTTTGGAATTAAAAAAAGGTAATATTTCCAACATTAATTGACAATAAATAAATAATCTTCAAAACCCACTTGCTTAATAGTAAGCACAAATAAATAAATAATCCCCAAATTATCCCACTAATTTTAAGTTAAAAAAAAAAAAAAAACTCTAAACTAGAGAAGTTTTGCAAGTAATCCATTTCAGTCATTGTTAGTGTAATAATAAAATTACATGATTGTTCTTACAAAGTTGAAATTAAATTTTGGAGTTAAAAAATGATTTTGGAATTAAAAAAAGGTAATATTTCCAACATTAATTGACATTATTGTGTCATGTGAGGCTCAAATGACTTTCTTCATTCTTCTTTTTTCATTCATTTTCCAACTGAAAATAAATGGCACTGGGTGATTTGTAGATTTTTACAAAAGAATAGGAGTTATATGCTAAAGTGATAGTTCAAATGGGTTATTTGCAAATCTGAGAAAGTTATGAGGGTTTTTTTTTTTTTTTTTTTGCCAATTAACATACCTTTCACTCTTAGTAAACTAAATAAATAAAACAATAAATATAAATGGGATGGAATAAATAGTACTCATTTAATTTAGTCAAATGATAATAATTAGCTTCATTCTAAATTTGTCGCTAATATCTAAAGTTCATACGTGGATGCGTTACGGCGTGAGTCATTGTAGGGTGCCCTAACCACTGATGTGGAGCTGCCACATGACAGACTCCTCACATGCTACATCTCTAGGGTAGTCATAGCTGGCGAGCCGCAACTACGTTCAATAATTTTTTGTATTTTACATTACAACATGTGTATATATATATATAAAAAATAGGGTAAAGGGCAATAAACCCCCTCAAACTATGCTCTCTTTAGCAAGAAACCCCCTTAAACTTTTATTTTTACAATTAACCCCCTAAACTATCCCTTTTTTTGCAAATATCCCAATTCCGTTCAAATTCCGGTGAATTTTCAACGTTAAAGTGGTGTGTGACATCACATAAGCTAAGCATAAATTTTAAATGGCAAGAATAACCTTATTACCCATTTAAATCGGGTTGTCTTTTGACCCGATTTAAAACCCACTCCAACTCCCAAATCTAGTCAGCTTCGTCAAAGAAACTCCTTCTCTCTACCAAACTCTCTCTCTCTCGTTCTCAAGCAGATCCTACCAGCAGATCCGATGACGGCGAAGATCAGCCAAGGAATATAACAGCAATAGATTCTGATGGTGACAGCAAGAATCAACATGGTGGCGACAAGGTTGAAAGTCTGAACTAACGACGATAAAGCCTGATAATCGGCGATCGTGATGGCGATGGTGTTTCGACGGCGAGACCCACCAATGTGCCTGTTGCAGCGGCAGTGGTTTCAGTGAAAGTTCTCTTATATGATTTTGGCGATGATGGGTTGAGAATTTTACGATCGCGATTGGGTTTGCCTGGTGATCACTCTTGGGGTTTTGCGATTGGTTTGCTTGTTGATCGACGACAACATATTTTTTAGATTTTGCGATTGGGATTACTTGATGATTGACAACATATTCTTGGGTTTTGTGATTGGGTTGGCAACTTTTGTAATTTGATATTGCGGCTAGAGTTTGGGGTTTTGTGATTGGGTTGTTAATGATTGCGATTCATAGCCAGAGATTGTATCGAAGGAGAGATAACACTATGATGTTTGGGATATTTTTAGTTGCTGGCTTTCGGTATAAATTTGCCCTGTTACTGGTTTTTTTTTTTTTTTAAATTGTTTTTCTTGTTGTGCATTTGGTTGCTTATGACTATTTGATTTTGGCAAATTTAGGGTTTCAATGGTCACTGGTCAGAGCAACAAATTTAGGGTTTCAATGATCAAAGAGATGGGGATTGTTTGGCGCAAATTTTAGCAAAAAGCACACATAACAGTAATATGTGATAAAACTTGATGTGCTGTCAATGTTGGCAAGAGGGATTAGCAGATGAAGGTTAAAAAACGACAAAATGACATACCAGTCTATTGTAAGGGCAAAATGGTCAATTAATTTTTCTGTCAACTGCTGTTAGACTACTGTCCTTAAATTGCACATTTTTAATAGTTGAGGGGGCAATTGTTAATATAGGGGGGTTTTGTGAAATACTCTAATAATTCAGGGGGGTTTATTGCCTTTTACCCTAAAAAATAATAATAAAAAATTACTAATAGTGGTCAAACACCATTGCGCTGGGCCGACCGCTTTAAGTAGCTAGCCACTCTCGCCAGTCACCGAAAATGATCATCCGGGTGAATAGCCATCGTACTAGATGGCGCAATGTATTCTACAAGTAGGATTTGGTTTGTTACTAAAAAAATTATACAAAAATTTTAATTAATTTAATTTTATAAAAATTTCATTATAAAAAAAAAAACATGTTTTTAAATAACTATATTTTATAATTTTATAAAAATAATTTTATATTTTCTAAATAATTTTGAGTTATTTTTTGATGACAAATCAAGAAGTATCTAACTTTTTCGATTATAAATCACTATTAATGTCCATATTTGAAAATCTTAGAATTCAAGTTTCATAAGGTTTAAATAAAAAAAAATGGAACGCTTTAGGAAGGATAATGATCTTCGAACCATAAAAGTTAATAGACCACTCTCATTTTGTATGATGATAAAGATCATGGTTCATTTGATAATGAATATTTATTATTGCAAATACGTAATATTATACAAACATCAATAATCAGCTGCAATCATTTGACATTTGCATAGCTAATTATGCATAATTAAGTTGATGGTATCTATCTCTAAGGTATGAATTCAAATAAAATTGGAATGCATATATATATATATATATATATTTCCTGCCTTGACTATAATTTTTATTAGAATAAATTCAGAAAAATCATTATGATCAAATAAAGATAAAGAAAAATAAATATTTTTCAACAATTAAGAATAAAATGAATATGAAAAAAAATGAGCTGTAAAGATGATTAATTAGTTGCAACATGATTGGAGACATCCCTAAATCCTCCATTTTAAATTGCATAGTGTCGTCCTGATTGTTGATCATACTTATTTAGACATGACAGCCTCTCAGTGTCAGTATTACACCTTTATTTCATGATGGCAATTAAGATCTTTAGCTTTTTTCTAAATTTAAAGCAATTCTTATTTTTTTCAAACAAAGCATATTTAGCAATAAAAACAATGTTAGATATGAATGTGCTTTTAATTCATTAGATGTTTGGATTCCCCAAAACAACATAAATTTTACTTATTTAAAGCATTTTAAATTTCCTATTTGATTCAAAAAATATATGTATTTATTGTAAATTATAATGACTTTTCTTAAAGTTTGACCTAATTGTAAATAAATCTGAAATTTGTCAATTTTTAACCATTTTGTTATGAATTTACTTATATACCCTCATTATTATATTGTAAAAAATGGACAAAATATTTAGGTATGTTAAATTACAAATTTACCCATATTAAAAATATGGTAAAGTATAAAAAAAAAAACCCCTAAACTATAAGGTAATTGCACAAAAAACCCCTTAATTAACAAATACCCCCAAACTATTAAAAATTGCATTTAAGGACAACAGGCGAATCTATGGGCACGGAAAAATGAGATTACAAAATTACACTCTGATGAAATGACAGCGTTTTGGTGCTTTATTAACTTGTGTTGCTGATGTGTCAAACCAAAACTCAAGCACCAATAGACATTTGGCAACACATCATTTTACAATTGCCATCATTAATTTTGTTTAACAATATGGGCTCCATGTTTAAACCACTAGACACCAATTGTGTTTTGTTTTGAGTGTCTGAAAGAAAAAACACATAAAGAATCTTAGAGCAGGAATTTCTCATTCTGGACAACTCCCTTTTCTCTCTCTTATTTTTTCTTGCCCTTTTACCTTTCATGGTGATTTTTTTCTTTTTTTCCTCCTTCCCCAGAATGATTTGGTAGCAAAGGCAGGGATGTGAGTGATAGTGGGAAACTCCGAGGAAGAAGTAGAGAGAGAACTCTTTCTCCTCCATTCTCTCACCTCCATGGATGGTGTCCCCCAATCTCTCTACTACCCCCTTGTTGAAATAATCAAAAACCTTCAAAATAACCCTACCAAGAGAGCTAACACATTTTCCATTTTTATTTTTATTTTTTACTATAGCATTATTATATATGCGACTAATATTATTATATAATCACTTCACATTTTCCTAAAATTTGGAGCTTCCTATGTGCTGTGGAGCATTCAAGGGAAAAAAACATCTCTCTTGAGTTCTTTAACTGAAGCAAACAACCACCTATGCCCCTTCCATTATTGCTTCTACTTCAAAGATGCTTCCAATCACCTGCATTCTCTTCCTCTGCCTCTTAACCTCTCTCTCCCCTCTCATTAGAGCCACTCTCAATCTCACCCTCCCCCATCAACACCCCAACCCTGAAGCTGTTGTTCAAGAACTCCAAAGGTAAAAACATCACTCTCCCAACAAAATCACACAAATCCACATCTGGGTCTTGCTCATTGTAGCATTTTCTCATCTGGGTGTCTGTTTGTTTTCACAGAAAAAAAAACACACACACACACACGCATTCACAACACATCTGTGTTTTACTCATTCTAGGGCTTTTATGATTTGGATCACTCTGTTTTCACATTGTTTTGAGACCGTTAGAAATATAAAAATTCACATCTGGGTTTGTTCATTATAGCATTTTATCATGTGGGTCAATCTCTTTTCACACAATTTCAAGAACAACAAAATATCTGATTTTTGCTTATTTTTAGGATTTTTTTCACTCTGGTTTGCTCTGTTTTCACTGCAGGAGTCTCAATGTCTCTATATCCAGACGACAAATGCTGGCCAACAATGGCGAATCAAAGGGCAAGACATGCCTCACCGGAAACCCCATCGACGACTGCTGGAAATGCGACCCAAACTGGGCCAACAACCGGCAACGCCTCGCCGACTGCGCCATAGGGTTCGGAAAGGGCGCGCTCGGCGGCAAGGGTGGCCGGATCTACGTCGTCACCGACTCCTCCGACCGCGACGTGGCGAACCCAACTCCGGGGACCCTCCGGCACGCCGTGATCCAGACGGAGCCCCTCTGGATCGTCTTCTCCACCAACATGCTCATCAAGCTCAAGCACGAGCTCCTCGTCAACTCCTTCAAGACCATCGACGGCCGCGGCGCTAACGTGCACATCACCGGTGGGTGCATTATGCTCCAGTACATCAGCAACATCATCATCCACAGCATCAACGTCCACCACTGTGTCCCCTCCGGGAACACTAACGTACGGTCGAGTCCAACTCACGTAGGATGGAGATCAAAATCGGACGGTGATGGCATATCCATCTTCGGATCAAGAAGCATATGGATCGATCACTGTTCCTTGAGTTACTGTACCGACGGTCTGATTGATGCTATAATGGGGTCCACTGCGATTACTATATCGAACAACTATTTTTCGCATCACGATGAAGTGATGCTATTGGGTCATGATGATAAGTATCTGCCGGATACGGGTATGCAGGTGACCATAGCGTTTAACCGCTTCGGTGAGGCGCTGGTGCAGCGTATGCCTCGGTGTAGACGCGGGTACATACACGTGGCGAACAATGATTTCACTGAGTGGAAGATGTATGCCATCGGCGGTAGCGCTAATCCCACCATCAACAGTCAGGGCAATCGCTACATTGCGCCGTCGGACCCGGATGCTAAGGAAGTAAGTTCGTATTTAATTTTTATTTTATATATATTTATTACTTAAATTGATTTTATTTTCTTTTGAAAAAACAATTATTGTTACACTTTTTTGACTTCTGTCTGAAAGTAAATTGGTGGATTTCAACTTGCTGCGGAGGCGCGTGGTTACACGCGCCACCAAATAGTGTTACTATTGTTGTCCTTGTTTAGCACACACCTAGAGCCAATTGCACTCTAAAGGCAACAAACACTGTCAAGTGGGTGACAGTCCGTGCCAACCCATTTCAAATTTCCTTGTCTGTACAACATCAACAATGACAGCATCTGATCAGTCACACTAATTAAATGTTACTACTGTACTAGTCTCTGAGGCGCGTGAGAATTTGTTTTGACAGGTGACAAAGCGCGTGGACACAAACGAAGGTGACTGGTCAGATTGGAACTGGAGGACAGAGGGGGACGTAATGGTAAATGGAGCATTCTTCGTCGCCTCCGGGCCTGGCCTCAGCACCCAGTACGCCAAGGCCTCCAGCCTCGAGCCCAAGTCCGCTAACCTCGTCGACCAACTCACCATGAACGCCGGTGTCATTGGTGGGCCCAGGTAACAAAACTTCCCCCAACTTTTTTCTTCTAACTGAAAAAACCTCTCACTACTCTAAGTCTAATCTCAGACCAAGGGCATTGTCGTCTTTTCATGAGTCTGTCATAGTTTACCAAAATACCCCTTGGCTTTATTGTCCTGTTTGACAGTTTTTTTCCTGCTTTTGTCAGGCAAGTGGGGTATTAGAATTAGTACTAATCTGATATTTGCACCTCATATTTTCACTTCTTCCCCACCGTCCACCTCGAATACCCCTTACTAATAGAGTGGAAGTGTGTTAAAAAAAATAAATAAATAGAGTGGAAGTAGTATTTTATTATGTGTGTGTATATATATACACTGGTGCACGTGATAAGGGGATTGAGAATCTAACTGTCAAAAGAGCTTTACTCACTGTCTTGAGTTGTCCTGCGACAATGACTTTTCTGTGTTCTTTTCTCAAAAAGCGTTTTAATATTGTAAGAGCATCCCCAATCACACTCCACACTTTACTGTGCACCTTAAAAAAAGAAAAAGAAAAAAAAGAAGGGTAGTGTGCGGACGAGGCTCTAGACTTTTAAGTAGTTGTTTATACACTATTTTTAGAATTTAAACTTTATTATTATATTACCTTTAAAATTTTATTTATTGAAAATAAAATTTTTCTTTACAATTGTTTGTTTATTTATTTATTTTTGTTACAACTATTCTCAACAACTATATTGATAATGACTATAATTTTTTTTGTTTCGATTATATGTTTTGAAATTTAGAACAATAAAAAATAATAATATTACATATATAAATAAAGCGTACAAATAAAATAAAATAAAATAATACAATTAAGAAAAAAATATATATTAATACTTTCCCATGTGAAAAAAATATTAGACATATACAATTAATCACATATAAAATAAAACAACACAATGATATTGCATATATAAATATTTTTTTATATCTTCTAAAAAATTTTTTTTTTTTTTCTCTAGTACTCACACACACACATGCCTCTACTGGACTCAAATCCCTAACCTCTTTTTGAGAAGTAGGGGGCTTGATACTGCAAGGCCACTGGCCTGTTGGTATCTTCTAAAATTTTTAGGGTTCAACATTTAATTTTTTAAATGTAATTTTTATATCATAATAAAAATTAATTAAATCATTATGTAATAAATAAATTAATTAAATTGAAAAGTCAAAAAGTAAGAATTTTTTTTAAAATAATTAATTAAATTCTTATGCTAATTAAACTACTCTTTTTATTTATTCAAGAAAAATAACTCTTTTATAGTTAATTAAATTATAACTATTTTTAAATTAATTAGTACAATATACTGTAAAAAACATATACAATAAAACTTGAATAAATACACACAATAATTATTTTACACCACCACACAATATTACTTTTTCATTTTTCAACTCTGTCAGGCGCTACTCCATTCCACAAATGTAGAGTAGTATCAAGTATACAATATTTAGTGGGGGCCACGAGTGTAGAATGTCCACACCAAAGCCATTAATTCTCCACAGGCCCAGATATTATCCTAACAATTGACGCATTGGGGATGCTTTGAGCATCCTAGCGCATAAGGATTTAGATAGATTTAGATAATATGGAAGGGAAATGGAAATTCAAGAGCTTTAATGTGCATATTCCACATTTGTACTTGTAATATTATAAAATAAATTGATTGTGTATGAGTGGTATGTGTACAAATTTTAAAATAAAAAACTGTAGTGTAAAAGATATGTGAGATAAACTTTCAAAAAATGTGTAGAGTCCTGTCACTATAATTACTTACATGGCATTACACTTTGTAAAAGTGTAGAATGAGAATGGAAATGTTGTACAGGGTGCTCGGAGCGAGTATATCCTCCCGAATCCTTGATTGGTTTGGGCTGGAGTAAGGTTTAGTTTGAACATCTCTGGGACCCACAAAGTTTACGGCAGCACAAAATGATTCATACACCAAACTAACCAACCTATTTAATAGGTCCAAGAGTTTCTATCCTTTGATTTAGTGACTGAGACCCTATTTGAGTTTATTCATAATATCTAATGGTTAGACAAATAGGAGTAGTCACTGCAAATATCATTGTTCATTTTAAAATCATTAAAATGTCTCAAATTCGGTAACGACTGGAATGAGTTCAAATGATATAGTCTCTCAATGGTTAAGAATAACGTTAGAATGTTTAAATGTCAAAATTGCCCCTATCTAACTATATAATATCTTAGTTAATAAGTTCAAGAGTGTTTATGAGAGATCAAAGGGGGTGGTGTACAGATCCAAAGCCCGTGCAAAAATGGAAGGGTATGTGTGTGGGCAGTGAAATAAAGTGTAAGGTGGAAGAAGTGTAGGGCTGGATATGGGTTGGAGGGTGATGTGGGTACACACCCAGGTCATGTTGTTTGGCGTCTTTTGTTATATATAATATTCTCTACAATCTGCCTTCCAGCCAATGATGGGTCCCATATTTATGTTTCATGGAAATGAAGGGACCCACTTCTGATATTCACTTGAAGTAGACAACTAGCCGCGCCTCTAGTGGAGAAAGTGTATTCACACTGGCCCATTTGCAGGTTCCTATTCCAGAGTTGTGAAATTACCATTCTACCCTTTTCATGATTCAATAAATCCCATAGACCACCTTTTTTTAAATTTTTTGTGGCCTCCTACAAACCACTAGACCATCTTGCTCTTCAAACGGTTCCTATCAACTCCCATGGAATGTCATAAATGAGAGGTTGGTAAGATCATTAAGAATTACGCCATTCGGTTGGAAGAAGCCAGATGAAATGGTTATGCAACTTGATTGCATACGCCCTAGGGATGCAGATGTTTAGGTAAGTCATTTAGGGCGGTCAATTCTATCGTATTTGGGTCATTAAAGGTTGAGTTTGTTGTTCGGATGCCTTTCAGTTTGTTTAAAATGACAGAAATTTCGTACATTGAACTAGTCTTGATCTATAGTTTCAGGTTAAAATCTGATCATGATTAAAATGAACAGTCTTGAAAAACTAACACTCTAAATCTATCCCATTTCACTTTTGGACAAAAATGGTACTCTTCAGGGTTATTGTCACGCATGTACATGGTCTTATTATATAAATCTTTGGAAAATATATATACATATATATATAATACATTGTTCTTGTAAGATTCCGACAATTGTCTATCTCACCCGTGTTATAATGCTTCCCTTTGTCAGATTCAGTCATAATTTATTGATTGATATATAAAGTTTAGACAGTATATTTTCTTTTCTTTTCTTTTCAGTAAGGAACACAGCACATTTTCTGTATCATCCACTCAGTAAATGTCACATAGAGCTGAGTTTGCTCTTTGAATTGTTCTTGCCATTTCGGACCCACTTCTGTCCCAACTTTCTTTTAAACTCAGCTTTTATCTATACAGTTATTTGTGTTAATACATTTAATATACATATTGTTATATATATACATGCACATATTTATATATGGGGAGCAACTGAATTAACTAATCTTACCTTTAGATACTTTGGACTTGGTCAATTGTAGTATTTAATCAATTAGGCCCCATATGACATTAAGGCAACAAACCATAGTTTTGTTTCTTAGTTCATTCCATTGACATTATTTTTCTGTTGTGTAACTACTTGTGATACAGGGAAGGTAGTGTGAGCATGTCATATCCGGGATTCGGTGGTGGCGGGACCAGCACCGCGGACACCGGTGGTGGAGGGTCCAGTGGCGGTGATGACTACTTTGGAATGATATTCGGGAGCGGCGCAGCACCACCACCCTCATCTACAACTATCTTTTTATCTCTTCTACCAATTTTTATTTTGTACATTACCACCGAAACTCTACTATCATTACAACCATTGTTATCATTATTATTATAGTAACTGGGGGAAGAAAAGGAATATGATATTTAGAAGGAAAAAAATTGTGGCACTCGGGATATTACTTACCTTGGTATATAACTAAATATTATAAAGTGTTGACGAGGGTGCTTTCACCAAATTTTCACCCTCTCTAACTAACACGAAACAATTTCTACGCGTACGAAGGTATGGATGTCTATTTTCGATCTTTTTTTTGATCTAATAATTATAAAAGTATCGTACATTAGCCCCTTTTAACAGTATTATTGAGTGTATTTGTGGCTTGTTGATAGGTTTTTAATTTACTTATTTATTTTAATAAAGCATTTAACATTGGATTCTATTTTAGCGTTTCGGATAGGGATGTCAAAATTCTCATATCCAGCGGGTCCTCGCCCTACCCCGTCCTGTTATGGCGAGTTTGGGGACCTATTTATGTAAATAGGAAGGGGATTGGGATTATATTTGAAACCCCAACGGGTGAGGGGCGGGGCCGGGGGAGGGTAATCCCACCCTGTCTTGTTTATAGTGTATTTTTACAAAATTGTCTTTACATGTTATAAAATATTATTAAATTACATAATTATATATATAATATATTTACTTCTGAAACTCTAAATCTATTCCATCGTAGCATAGTTGTTGTTGGAAGAATATTATTTGTTTTGATTGATCATGTTGAAAATTTACAGACTATTCTAAAAAATGTTATACGTAGGTTGAACAGGTTGAAATGATATGTTTTAAATTGTTATAATTGTGCTGAAGTTTTATTAAATTATTAGGTTGAAAAATATTATAGTTGTATTGATTTTGTTGAAGGTGAATTGAAATTTTAAAAAAGTTATGCGGGGATGGGAGCTAATGTGACAGGGAGAGGGTTAAAATTTAAACGGGTACGAGAGAAGAAATGGGGGTAAAAATTTGACCGAAAATGAAAATAAGGAATGAAATCCTCGTTCCATTGCCGTCCCTAGTTTTGAGTAGTCATGTTATTGTGTTATTATCACGGTAGTTGGATTCTTGACTTTTGTGTTTGATAATGACCAATTAATGGTGTAGAGATGATGATAAGAGGGTAGAATATGGGTGGCCGAGGTGGGATTTTCGGATCCCACGTCAATTTTAGAGCAGTTGAAATTGTGGACTTTTCTTCTTCAATCGACACTTCTCTGTCTGGAGATTTGTTTGGCTTTCCATTTCCATGCTTAATTATGTCATCCATAACATGGGATGTCTCTGTAACGGAGAAAATTGCCAAACCGTCCAACTTATTTAATTAGTCCCTCTCTCCCATGCGCACACTGCTTTATACTATTATACATATCTCTTCTCTAAAAATTAATATCATATGCATTTTTCTTGCATTTGGAAATGATTAAAGTTGCATAATCCCTAAATATGAGAAGTGTGCTCTAAGAAGTCTCACCCCACCACAAATATATATATATGAGAATGGTGGGTCCTACTGGATTGGATGAGAGATAAGGATAATTGTTATGGTATATGAATGTATACTCACAAGTCACATGTATACACGCTTATGGTATGTGAATGTATACTTACAAGTCACATGTACACACAAAAGAGAATTTAGGTTTAATGTTTGAAGCATTAAAATTATATTAGTAAGACGATGATTTTCATCTATTTGATCTATTTGACGTTATTGTTCCTTTGGTTGCCCTGGTTGGGTTCATTGAGCTTTATTATGCTTTAGTTGAGTCACCTTGTATTGGGCTTAGTTCAGAGGTTCAATTTTAGGTTGTCTTGATTGGGTTGATTCGGCTGATTTGGCTGGATCTGTTTGGACTAAATTGGCACATTCCACTAATTGTGGCCATTGTACCATTTTCTATATTATTAATACATTGCTTAACCGGAAAAGCCAAAAAAAAAATCCTCAATTCTACCTTATTTAGGGATAAAGATATTGTTAGATCACAATATATCTGAAGATATTTGGTTCCCATGAAAGTTAGATGTTAGGTGATATTTGACAATTAATTTACCAATAATTTTAACTGAATTAAGTGTTAATATTAAGCGTTATTGTAATCGAGGGGGGTTGATGACAACTTTTGAATGTCACTCAAATTGATATAAAATTTAACTGATCGTTATTTCAATTGTTAAAAAATTTAGAATTTGATATTCAATACACCTAATTTGGAAAATTAAATCAGATTATAGAGTTCGGTCACATCTAAAAATGGTTACTAGTGTTATCAAATAATCAAAGACACAGAATAATTTTATGTGACACTACAAGCCATTGATACTGGATCAGCCTAACCTATTGGTGCCACTTGCTAGTGGTGGCTCGTTACACAGTTCGCACAGTTCGCACTTGGTGAACACTTCTTTTGGCTTGTTCCACTCCCTCATGCCACTTGATGTTAGAAACTCTGGCCTATATATAGGCATCCTCCTTTATGATAAAAGCTAAGATGCATTATTCTTCACCAAAATATATACGTACTTGTAAACTCTACAAAATTCTATATTATTATAAAATCTTCTTCAATCTACTAGTTCTTACAAACTCTTCTCTCAATGTTATAGAATTTTCTATTTCTCCCTAGGCTACTGCACAATCTCCTCAAAAATGTGGAAGATTCTACATATAAAGTCCTCCTCAATGCCTGTGTGGCACAACCTCCTTGCAAATAGGCGAGCATGACACCAGGGTCCACATCTGAGGCTGCAGACTCCTCATGGTGAATCCAAGGACATGCAATTTCCTACATTCCCCCAAGAGGGAAAAAATTGTGCTGATTTCCTGGCCCAAGGACACTAATAGGTGGTGAATTATACATTCCAGATAGCATTAGCCAACTACTGAGAGAAAATAAGACACAGTTCTCCCATGGAAGACAGTACCATCCAAGAACAACCATATTTACACCAGACAGTGATGAGATTGATGGTGATGTAGATGAAAAAATGAACATAAAGAAAATAAAGATTTCACCTATATATGAAAACAAATCTGACTTCCTCCATCACATGAGTATCAATTGAAAACTTTTGGATGATCTGTATCGCATAGAAAACGAATCTATAATATGAGCGTGACACATCAAAGCCAGAATCTTTTACATTCAACAGGGCAAATGAATTTATATTCACACTGAACCACCAAACAGTTCTAAACAGGAGAAAAGAGGGAAAAGAAAAAGGTTGATCATAGGTTACTGCTGCTTGTACAAAAGACAAAAATTATGAAAATACAGCCTTCCTCCACAGGGACAAAAATGTTACGGACGAAAGGACACTCCATTTAGTGAAAAAAAAAAAAAAAAAAATTTGATTTAATAATTTTCCTTCGTCGGAGTGAGAAATATGCAGCAGAGGTGATAGAGAGTAGCAGAAAATTCTTCATAAGCATGCGCCAATTGCAGGACACCCATAAAATAAATTTTCTTTTCCTTCTTTTAAGCTAAATCACTCAAGTGCCACGATATAACCTCAAACATCTTGAACAGATCAGAGAGAATGTCCACCAAACGGAGATAAAGAAGAGCTTCTCAGTCCACTTGTTGATCAATTAACCATAACCATGTCCTCTCCACCAGTCTGGGCAGCAACTGCTTCCAGTCTCTTCCATGCCAACTCTCGCTGGTCTTCTAACTCTCTGGCCCTGGCTTCACTCTCCACATACTGCCTCTGGCACTCTTCAAACAACACGGTGTCCATCTCTAGAAACATCCGTCGAACATTGGCAGTCAGGCCATGGACTGCCTGATTCCAGTGACCCTGCATGTTCCTCTCTAATGCTTCAAAGATGATAGGGAATATAACATGTCGATTCTGAGCAATCAAGCTCACTATGTGTTCATTGTTCCACAAGAAGAGAGCTCGTTCTGCAACCTGCCATGCACCCTTGACTTAGAGAACTCTTATAAAAAGAGACTAGTATCATATGGAAAATGAAAAAACAATCCATGAACACTGAACCACTATGGAAATAAATGACATATAACAGCATTAGAGCATCTAAATTTGTATTGATCAGTTATATAAAGCACCTTGTTTCAGTGATTTCTTTTTCAACTGCACAAAAGTAAGGTTGTTACTCATAATATAAACTAATAAGCTGAGGACATATTTCCACTAATGCATCAGTACCTCTATAACCTATAAGTCTATTCATTTAGTCAAAGATTAAAATACAGAACTTCTGCACCATTTTTTGCAATAGCACAGTTAAGAATCAAGTGAAATCTAGTTGACATATTAGTACTGTTTTGTTTGCACCAAAACCAAACTAACTGTTTTGTCTTCTGCACCAAAACCAAACTAAGTACGAGCCTGTTCAAAGACAAGAATTCTAAACAGATGAAAAGCAAAAGAAGTTGGTAAAATCTCATACACCTGATACAAAAGGAATTTTAAAATTCTTTTAACAGAAATCCAGTTTACATTCTCTTATTGTACATCACCTAGAATTCAAGATTGAGTTGAACCCTTTGGTTAGTGTGTACATCACCAGGAGATGGATTAACTTAAATTGTCCAACCTCCTAGACTGGTTGACAGACTAAACCCCCCCTCCCCCAAACACACACGCACACCAACCAACAAATGAAATAAAGGAAAGAGGAGAAAAAGTAAAAAAGTGAGAGAAAGCTAGATAAAATCACAGATATCTAAATCAACTAACAGCCTTCTGATATAAACAAGATTTCAAAGAAAAATGGAATGATTTACACAATTTCAAAAGAACAGAGAAAAATTGCATTGCATAGTGTAGAAATTTTGAAACCGCAATGACAGCAAGGAACAACAACAACAACAACAAACCTTTTTCCAAACTACTTGGGGATCGGCTACATGAATCCTATGTTTCCATTCTGATATATTAAAGGCTATATCCTCTATCAAACCACATGCTATCATATCCTTCCATACTATCTCTATTCACGTTAACTTTGGGCTTCCTCTTCCCTTGGTATTACCCTCAATGTGGACTATGTCACTATTCCTAACAGAAGCACTTAAAGGTGAACATTTAACTCGACGGGAAGTCCTCATACGTGACAAAAGCAGATAATTTATACCAGTACCTGAGCCTGAGCAATCAGCATCATCAGCTGAATGTCTAACAATACCGACATTTTTCTGTTTGCTCAAGTGGAAGAGATAAAATGATCAATTAAAATTTTCTCTTAGCAAATAGAACTCTAATTCTACCTTTACCCCAAGCACACAACTTACTGAAATGACCATCTATCCAGTGATCTTCTCCCTCTTCCTCTTGACCAAAGTCCTAACGAGGGTTGGCATATTCGAAGTATTAATACTTTTTAATACCTTAACTCTGGCCCTGGCATGTTGCACGTGTAAAGTTTCAAAGTGCCAGCAAGGTTCAAAAATGATGATTTCAAAAATCATGACACTTGGACACCACTACGTCAAACTCTGTTACATAACTAAAGGTAATATAAAACAATAAGATAACACTGGCCAGAAACTAGTAAAAAAAAGATTTCCAGGAAACAGAAACCTCACGTGAAATGTACATTGCACTCAAAATAGCCCTAGTGTCATAAGCACCTTAAAAGGAATGTCATGATAAGTGTTGGGTTTGCTGTCATCTCTTTCCAATGGCCTGGTAACACTGTCTTTCCCATCCTAATTAGCTTATACTAATAAAATAGTAGCAATAGACCTATCCACATTTAATATTAAGATATTCACGTAAATCAAGAATCATATTTATCAGCACCCTAATAGAACAATTTCCAAAAATACTTCGGCGCCAATAATTCAGTAAATATCATTTTCCATCAATTGATGCATGACCAACCTAGGGATACTTTGATGCGTTTGATCCTAAAAAAGTAGGGCAGGGATACGGTGTGAGCACGCCTATATATAAATATAATTTTTATTTATATACATCTATTTAGTTTTTTTTTTTTGTTTGATAAGTAAAAATTTGACATTAAAAAATAAAAATATATATAAAAAAAGAAAAAAGTATATGCTACTATTCCACTTGTCATTACAATTATGTTTCTGTTCTATATGAAAAAGTATCCTTATATGCTTCACTTGTGACCAAGAGTATCATATCAATTTTTCTTAGAGAAAACATTGGATACTTTGAAAACTGTTCATAATTATTTGAAAAGATCACTGAACATGGCTACTCTAGAAGTGTGTGTGTTGTATAAGACTTGTATTAGGGATATCAAGAAGTGTTGGCCAAGTGTCTGGAAAGTGTCGGCCAGGTGTCCGAAAGTCCAAAATAATTAAATTTATTTTTAAATTATGACACGTAGACACGTATCCGTGAAGTGTCGGTGTCCAACAAAAATACAACACAGAGACGACTCCTTCGTAAATTTTTTCATGCTTCCTCGCTTTCAATATAAACAAGGGATTGAAAGTCTTTCGAACTAAATATATGACTCACCACAAATCAAGTCAAGTGACATGCATCTAACGCTGACCAATAGAAAGACATGAATGATGAAAAAAGATGTGATAAGAATCAGCACATGCATGGTCGAAAAAAGGAAATCCCCAAAAGAAATCAATAACATCTCGCAATAGGGTTTAATAAATGTGAAATACTTGGGAAAAAAGAGAGAGAGAGAAACATTGATTTATATAGTTTTTAGAGACATTGCATATACTGCAATTTTTTTTGGTTTATATAATTCTAACACAAGAAAAATGCTCTTCCCTCTTACCACTCACACTCAACTTAAGCTTACTTCAAAAACAAATCACAATAAAATATGGAACTGCACAAGAAACAGAACCAGAAGTACAAAACAAGTAGGAGAAAACATGACCAAATAAAAAACAAACTTGACAAAAATAGTGAGACCTGCCAAATTTATTTTATTCATAAAAAAGAAAAAGAATGCAATTTTAACAATCATAAGAGTTGATTGCTACCGAACCCATGGGGAAAAAACAAAAAAAAAAAAAACAGAATGCACAAGCAACATATCACATGGGCCTAAAGTAATCATCGAGAAATAAGGTAAGCTCATCAGAAGACAGAGAACAGCATGAGAACCAATAGCATAATATTGGAAATTGAGGGTTATATGGGCCTAAAGTATTTCCCCATCTACAACACAAATCTTGTAGCTTCCTAAAAATTTAATGTGATGTCATAAACATTTCAGTTGGTTTGCAAAAGAATTATAGTAAACAAAAAATAATGCTTAAATATTTAATATAAAGAAACATTTTCCAATCATTTTCTTCCCTTCACTCTAATTCCTTAAGCAATTTGAGCAAACAAACAGTTTATGGCCAGAAGAAGGAATCAAACAATCCACAAATATTTCATACAAAACGTATAACAATTATAGTCCCGTTAACTATTTACATTTAATTTACTCAGAAAACATAGGAAGAGAATCTTTAACCCGTACCATCACATGCATGCAATACCAAAAGCTATTGTCCATTGTTGGCCCCCACTGTTTAGGATTTCGAAAGGGATAGACCAGGTACAAACATAGCAATTGTCATAATTTGTATGAAGTGCCTTTCCTTGGATGTGGACCTTTGTTCTCATGGGTAACAGTCCAAACTTTTACAACAGGAGTATAACATAAAAGTACAGAACACAGAAAACATAATGGCGATTCTCAAACCTGGAAATGAGAACTGTTGAGGCAGCGTCCAATCTGTCTGAAAAGAGGAACCATGCAGCGTTGGAATTCAGCAGGTTGTGTTGCTTCCAAAACTTCTTCTAGTTCTCCAAGAAAGAGAACCTCCTTGCCACAATTAGTGACCGGCCAATACTTCAACAATCCCCTAATAACAGTATCTGCCAATTTGTAGTCTTTCTCCAGAAACTGTGTGATGCAGTATGATAATTGTTGATGGTAAGCAGAGATGCATTTAGGCTTGTGGAGTGGAATAAGCGCCCGAACAAGGAACAACTTGTGCTCCTCTTTCATGGGAAGCGCAAACCCATTTATTATACTTCCAAGAATCTCCAACAACTCATTAATCCCACTATGTCTCTCCGTCTCAAATATAAACCTATATAAAATATTGTTTATTGCCTTTCTTATGAAGGGGCGATGAACCATGAATTTCCCGTAGATGCGATGGAGAATAGTCTTCAAATACTCCCGTTCTCTTGGATCCTCCGAATCAAACAAATCAACCAATTTCAACACAAAGGAATGATCAATATACCGCTTAGCAACCTTAGCATCCGTATCGGGTAACACAATATACCTCAAAAGTAACTCATACACAATTTGCAAGTGAGGCCATGACGGCTCCAAATACATATCATCCTCTTCCAGGTCAGCACTCTCAGTGCCTGTATTTTCATGCGAAGCCGGGGGCAAACACCGGAAAATATTCAAGGAAGCCATCCGAATCAGCTCTTCCTGCATAGTTTCATTCAACTTACATGACCCAGACTGCAGTAAATCAAGAAGCTCCAAAAGTGTTTGTCTCTTGACCTCCATTTCATGCTGAGACTTCAATGCATCCGAAAAATCAAGCATAAAGCCGCAAATTTGAAGCTTTCGGAGAAACAGAATGTGCCGTTCCGATACCGAAACATCCCTCAACAATGGTAAGGGTTCTACTACACCAGAACTGGGTGCTGCAGTAGACTGAGAATTTACGATCTCATTCAGTGCGGGATTTGATATGGGAGGCTCAATGGCGTCCGATTTGGAGACCTTACGATGTCCTCGTTTGATAATTTTGAACATGGTTCAAACTCTAAACCCTAACAGTGGCCCTAATATACTTTTCCTAGTTCTATTCAGGTCAGTCGGAACTGATTGATCAACCGAATTGAAACCTAAGAATTGGAAAATGTTGAAAGCAAAATTATTCACAAAAGTAAAATAAATACGTGCATAAAGAGAGAGGGTGGAAAGTTAGCAACCAATTGAAACCCTAAATTCGAAGTGTTGAAAGTAAGCAAAAGATGGGTGTTTAAAATAAAATAAGCGCTAAACTCAGAGTGTTGAAAGTAAGCAAAAGAAGTTCTTTAAAGTAAAAATAAGATGCTCACTTGCATATGTGTAGAAAGAGAGTGAATTTTCTTAGGAAACAAACAGAGAGGAAGAAGAAGAAGAAGAAGTACCTTAGTTGGACCAAGACGACGACAGATCCGAAATGCGAGAAAGACCGAAACCATCTGTGAGATTCTGTTGTATGGGTTTGGGATCATAGAAGGAATGGGAAAGGTCGAGCAATTGGGGAGCGTTTGGTAGTGGTGATCAGGAAAGAATAAAAGAAAATGAGAGAGGAAAAGACAACTACTACTCTTTTCTTCTTTGATTTCTAGTTTCTTCTACACACTTATTGTACCAAAAAAGGCAAAAAAAAAAAAAAAAAAAAAAAAAAAACAATAATTCATTTAAGTTTGTGATCAATTTTAGTGGAAGCATTAGGTGTGGTATAGTTATCTTATGTTCCTCTTATCTTGCTGACATGTTTCTGATATGTCACACGTCGTTATAGTTCTAACGTCACACAATTGACAAATAATGATATAGTTAATGACAAGGGAATCCTACAGAAAAGTGGTAATAACGTAAGTATGTTACCAATCCATAGTTTACATATTTTCAAATACATTAATCAAATTTTAATTTTAACTCTTTTTATAAGTTAAAATTATATTTTCCTCGCTAAAATTTGATTTTATGAATCTACCCAAAAAAAATACGTATACAAGTTCTAGAATTTTGTCAAACAGCACTAAAAAATTGTTATATCGCACAAGAATTAGGAGTAGTTTACAACGAAGAATAAAAGAACTTAGATCTAGAAGTATTTGAATACATAATATTTTAGATGCTGAACGACAAAAATTTTAGTTTATGAATAGAATAGATTTTAATAACTTATATAACTCTATAAAATGATTAGGAGAAAATTTAGATTATATTAAAGAACAAGTAGTATAGAATTCTAGTCCAAATAATTTAGATAACAAGATAATATTAGTCGCAATTAAAGATATAAATAGCGATATTAAAAATATTTCTGAAAATCAAAATATAATTATAGACTATTTAAAACATCTTAAAACCGATATTCAAAGGTTATTACAATAGTTTTATGAGCACTAGTAATCCTGATTATCTAACAGCTTTAGCCGAACTTTATAAAATTGATAAAGACCCAATAAGATTTACAAGGTTTAAAACTACAATCAACTAATATACATATTAGACAAAATAACTTTTTATTCTAGCTATTACTTCAGTTGTCTGAAAAAGTTAATAAACTTGAGGAAAAATTAGAAGTAATACGATAAAGTATTCTCAGAGAATCTTCTAAAGAATTAACTGAATTATCAGATAAAATAAAAGATATAAAATTATCAACTACTAATTTGTTCTCACCTGTAACCACCAAGCATGTAAACTTATTACAACCTCGTAAACAAGTACCACGATGGCCATTATCCTTAGAAAAGCCAAAGAAATAATGAGAATAGAAGATTTATATGACAATGAATATGATGCTAAAAAATATATAGAAAAAAGAATGAAGAAGATAAAAAATAAAGTCAATCTTTATTCCAATAATTTATTAGACTTCCAGAGCAAGATATATAATCATTTTAGCCAAACAAGAATAAGAGCAGTTAACAATCAAGTTATTCTAGACCTTATAACACCCGAAGCATGTCAAGAATTACATAATAATAATTTAGAACTTATGCATTTAGGTGTCATAATGATAGGATTAGTATGATTAACCAGAGCAGAAATCGAAACTAGAACACTTGCGTATATTTAAGACGATCGATGGAATAACCATCAATTAATTTATATATATGATCTTTTGTCTAAAGAAGTCTATAAGTCCATATTAATCTACTGTTCAACTTTAATTTCCAAAGAAAAATATTAAAAATGTTTTTAAGAATCTTATGCAAGTTTATTTCAAACTCTAAGGTTATTGTAAAATAAAAATATTGTTTTAGGGTCATTATAGTCATATAGTTTGTTGTAGGGTATAAAGCATAAAGTGGACTTCATTTTAGAGAAATATTTTGGTGATCCATCCCATTAGTGAAACTTTAAGACCTTATCCTCATTTTATTGTAGTATTTGGACTTAAGCCTATGTATTGGTAAAAATCCCTAATGACAAAATTAAAAGATTACGTCCTCTTGTCAATTATTTACATAATAAACCCTAAATTTAGTCATCCTAACTTCTAAATTGCCCGTGAGTATGGATTTCCAAAGATTTGTAATTTTAAAAAAATAATAATTTAATCAAGGGGTCGGAAGATGCAATAATGCAATTCAATCCAATTCATTGGGGTTTGAATATACGAGTAGAAATTGGGTGCCCCCACATGCCTATCATTGAACATGCACAATTCAATCAAAACAGTCCCATCCAACCAACTAAAATGACGCATTTTCATTGACCACAGCTCACCAAAATCTTCTCCAAAACTCAAAAAAATTGCAACACGTTTAATAGAAGCCAGCACAATCCCATTACATCGATAACGCAACACAATTACATCAAAGATACAGCACTGATGCAAAGATGTAACATTCTCATTCTCAAAGTAAAGTTATTGTTCATGTAATTATGTTGTATCATGTCGCATTTTCAATGTAAAATGCACAAGAAACTACAACATCCTGATTCCATTGCAGTGGCATAAGATCCAAATAGTGAAACTGCAGGTTGCGTTGTCAGTTGCAACAAGTCAACAAGGCACTAACTAATCCCTTTAATTGATGCAATCTAAAGGAAGATGCATATAAAATTACTGGAGCAATAAACATTAAAGTCACCGAAACCTTCAACGGAACAAGTTTGAGGACAGCATGGTCTCTTCCCTGTTCATAGCGAAGAGATCAGAACATGTTCCTATTTCCTGCACATGGTGTACTGTTTAAAACGAGTGCCACAAAAATACCAACATATAGAGCATGAAGGAAAAGAGGTTGTCCGAAAAGAGGTTGTATTTGGACAACCTATCTGTGCAAAAGCAAAAGACAAAACCAGTATCTACATCACATCATGGTAAAGAGGAACCAAATTCCTTCCAGAGTTTTCACCACCCTCCTTTGCTGCCACTGCCACCATTTCCCTTGTTGCCCCAAGAGCTTCCTGCTTCTTTACTCCACGAGTCAGTTGCTCCTCCGCCTTCAGTAGCTCCTTTTGCATCTTTCGATTGATTCCAACCAGAACCAGCCGATTGGCCCCCATCTGCAGCTTTCGACTGATTCCAAGACCCAGCAGCACCGCCATTTCCTGGACCGCTTTCCTTGTTGCCCCAAGAGCTTCCGGCTACTTTACTCCACGAGTTGGTTGCTCCTCCACCTTCAGTAGCTACTTTTGCATCTTTTGATTGATTCCAACCAGAACCAGACGATTGGCCCCCATCTGCAGCATTCGACTGATTCCAAGACCCAGCAGCACCACCATTTCCTGAACCACTTTCCTTGTTGCCCCAAGAGCTTCCTGATGCTTTACTCCACGTGTTAGTTGCTCCTCCACCTTCAGTTGTTCCTTTTGCATCTTTTGATTGATTCCAACCAGAACCAGACGATTGGCCCCCATCTGCAGCATTCGACTGATTCCAAGACCCAGAAGCACCGCCACCTTGGTTCCAACTGCCTCCATCATCTTTACTTTTCCAACCCCCACCACTACCGTTCAACCCTTTGTTGAAGTCATCACTTCCACCAGCATCTTTAGAGCCAGTTCCTTTGCTCCAACTCTGCCATTGGCCCTTGTTACCACCACCTTGGTTCAAACCGCCTCCACCATCATTACTCTTCCAACTCTGAGCATTATTGTTCTTGTCAACCCCGCCTTGGTTCCAACTGCCACCACTACTTTTCCAGCCCTCGGAATTATTGTTCGACCCTTCATTCCAGCCATAGGACTTATCCTCGCCAGAACCGTTTCTGTTATTCCAGTCACTACTTTGGCCCCTCCTTCCACGGCCTCTACCTCCAAAATCACCCCCATCACGACCTCGAAAGCCTCCCCTATAGGATCCACCCCTTCCTCCAAATCCTCCCCCCCTCTCTGAACTGCCTCTATCTGCAAATCCGCCAGTGTCCGAACCACCTCTACCACCAAATCTACCACCTCTACCTCCCCTCCAATTCCCACCTCTTCCTCTATTATCATAAGTATCGGTTTGGTTTTCACTCCCACCACTAGCATTTTCTGAGTTCCATTTGCTTTTGTTGCCCCAGCTATCCTGGTTTCCGCCTGCATCACTACTAGTTCCACTCCCACCAAAAGCATTTCCAGAGTTCCAGTTGCTCTTGTTTCCCCAGCCACAATCCTGATCACCACCTGCATCGTTTGCTTTACTTGCAAAACCACCTCTACCTGTAAATCCACCTCTACCTGCAAATCCACCTCTATCAGAGCCACCTCTACCACCAAATCTACCACCCCTACCTCCCCCCCTCCAATTCCCACCCCTTCCTCTATTATCAAAAGTATCAGTTTGGTTTTCACTCCCACCACTAGCATTTTCCGAGTTCCAATTGCTTTTGCTGCCCCAGCTGTCCTGGTTTCCGCCTGCATCACTGCTAGTTCCACTCCCACCAAAAGCATTTCCAGAGTTCCAGTTGCCCTTGTTTCCCCAGCCACGATCCTGATCACCACCTGCATCATTTCCTTTACTATTCCACTTGCTGCTTTGACCCCATCCTGCTGCTGAACCTCCATCTGAAGGTTTGAAGTTGTTCCAACCATCCCCCTCAGGAGCTTTTCGTTTGTTCCAACCACCTCCATGTTCAGCAGGCTCACTCGATGGTTTGGACGCATTCCAGCTGTCTTCACCAGAGCCAGTTCTGTTTTTCCAGTCAGTACCCTGATCCTCCTTTACATTGTTGCCTGTGTTCCAGCTGCCATCAATTGGTTTGGATACATTACTACTGCCTCCACTGCCCCCATCAAAGGCTTTGGCTTTGCTCCAACCGACTTGTCCACTATTCCAACTAGGTTGATTCTCTGCAGCTGTCCCATAACTTGTCTCATTATTTTCTTGACCTTTGTTACCCCAAGCAGAAGATTCACCTTCACCAAACATTCTTCCTCTGCCAAATTGACCACCACCACCTCGGCCACCTCCTCTTCCCCTTCTACCACCAGAACTGCGGCCACCATCAAATGTTCTTCCCATCGAATTCTCATCTGCATTAACATCATTTTGTTTACCCCAAGAAGATCCTCCAGTTTCACTGTTCCATGAGGATCCACCGCCTTGTTTATTCCAAGAACCTCCCTCCTGCTTGTTCCATGAATCTTGTTTATTTGAAGAAAATCCACCATCCTGTTTAGTCCAGGAAGACCCCCCATCCGCACCAAAGGCCTTCGGTTTGTTCCAACTTTCTTTCTGATCTTGATTCTCCGGTGCAGATGTGGAACTATTCCAAACTGCCTTGCTCCCACCAGAACCATCTTTAGAACCCCACTTTGGTGCAGCTTTACCCCAAGAATCTTCTTGAACACCGTCACCAGTTCCTTTATCTTGGGACCCAACAGCTTTGCACCAGGTGGATCCACTACTTCCACCATCCTTTCCTTTGCCCCATGCATCCAGTTGGTTCTTCCCAGTAGATGCATTATTCCAGCTGCTCATTGTGTTTCCAGTAACATTGTTTTCTTTTTCTAAGGTTTTCTCCTCCGGTTTTTGCCAGCCATCTTTCTGATTATTACCTGCCCAATTGTTCTTCCCCCATGCAGTAGTAGCATCGTTTGATGAATTATCCGGAGTTCCACTATTGAGTTTTGCTTTACCCCAGATGTCTCCAGCATCTTTTGAAGGGCCTGCTTGATCTCCGCTGGATACCTTTGGTCTACCCCAGCTGTCAGATGCACCACCGACGATGCCAATATCAGCAGTATCTTTCTTCCAACTTCCTTCAGCTTTTTTCCAGCCACCAACTTGAGTGTCCACAACAGCTTTCTCATCAGCAACTGCCGTACCCCAAGATGAACCCTGACTTGGAGCCACTTGACTCTCCCAAGAAGCATCTCCCACATCTTCACATCACAATAAATGAAGAAGATGAAGCAGCAGCAATATATTAATTGAAAATTTTATTGTGAAGGTTACTCAAAGAATTTCCAGAGACATGGCAAGCACAAAATACCTTTTTTGCCATCATTATCCACAGAATCAAGAGGATTTGCAGAGTTGGATTCTGGCTGAAGCTGTAACCATCAAACATCATCAAAAACTTGCGTGTATATGTCAGTATTTATGAGAGAGAGAGAGGGGGGGGGGGGGGGGGGGGGGGGGGGGTGTGGTATGCAAGTATGCAACCAAAAGGAAGCAAAACGAGGATAGAAGCTGAATAAATATGAAAGCGGTTTCTGAACTAACCGAGAAGCTTGAGGCAGGGAAAGAAGGCCAAGAGCTCCTGCATGGAGATGCCACCAGATTCAGGTTAATTCAGATATAGAAAAAAATAAATAAATAACATAAGATATAGCTATTATCAACAAGTAAAGAAAGACGAAAAACTGCCATCAGCGAAACCGTTAGTTGCACACAAAACCGATAATAATATTGGGTTGTCGTGAATGGGGCACCAGCAAAGACAATGCATCAAGTGAAAAAATTCTGCTCCGAACTAGTCAAAGCAACCACCATTCGACTCTAGCACTTTAATGCTCATAAGCTAACATGATTTGCCTTAAAAAAGCAAAGATAAGGTAACATAAATATCACAAATAAAAAAACAGCTACTATCTTTAAAAATTAGGCATAAACTGAATAATAGTAATATCAAATTTAAAAATATGTACTAGAGCACAAAATACTGGGATCAATTACTTACACCAAAAGCTCAACTCTGGAAATTCACAGAACTGATGCTAATAAATGATTAGGCATATATACAATAGTAATGTACATCAACCATGATTTAACCTTTCTGTAGAAAGCCCACCACCAGTCCACCTTCCGCCATCTGCTGATGTTGCTGCTCCATCCATCCAATCTACAAAATAAATGACTCTGTTAATTACCACTATGTAGAACATCCCATACCTCATTAAAAAGACACAAGTAGAACAATACGAACCATACTCCAAAAAGACTAGATCAAATGAGAAATAAGATAAAGAAATACGATTTCGCACATTAGGGATGTAGTTACAAACAACATCAGAAAACAGATTCCTACACAATCTCATAACCAAACTGCCAGGTTGAAAATGAAGCTTCCGATACATAGAGATCCTAAGAAGTTATTACGAAAACAACTTTGGAAGGGAAAATCGTAACTATTTTAACAATCAACTATGAGAATATTATTTTCAAGTTGAAAGTGAAGTACTACTGATTACTACCTCTGGAGCAGTCTTGAGTTCCAAGAAGATCGAATGGTTTTACAGACTCCGGATCGTCGCTTTAGACAGAGGAAACAATATCAAAATGATATGAGATTATCAGAAACAATAATTAAAAGATAAATATCAAAAACAGTTAATAATCTTATAGAATATTACCCCATAGGAATTGCAGAACTCTTTGCACGAACCTCAGAAAGATGCTCACATTTAACTGCAGAAACAACATATGAAAAATATTGTAACAAAGATTGACCTTACCATCCAACAGAACCAGGAATAGGAAATCGTCACCAAACCTGTAAGAACCTTCTGCTGAGAATCAAGTTTTACTGTCACATCAGAACGACGCACGGCCAGAACACGGCAAATGTACCCTTTAAGGGGGCCAACTTTGATTCTCAATGCTTGACCAACAGAGAACATTCCATCTTTATCCTCTCGGTTAACTGGCATTCAAAACAATATAACATCAGTGGAACAGGAAGGGGGACAATTAGAATTTAGTATTATACAGGCATTAAGAACTTCTAAACATACAATTGCTGTTATTTTCCCTTGCTTCCCAAGGTTTTTTAGGCGACAGCGGCGATTTAGGAGATGACGGAAAGTCTTCAAAACCCAGGGGCTCTGATTCACCACCCTAAATCGAAACGGAAAACCCCATCAAAAACAAAAGGATGAAAGAGAGAAAAGTATAAGGACAAAAACTCTCTTTTCACATTTTAGGGAGAAGAATTACAACCTTCCCACTGCATTTGTCATCAGAACGTTTAATTTTCTCACACATATGAGATTTCAAGCAAAAATAGCCACTATTTTCAAGCTCATTTTCATCATACAGAAAGATGGTCCCTCTATAAATTTGCTTAACAATTCCTTGCCTACCCTGCAAAGTGCGACAAATAGCATTGTATTCGTATCATTTTCAGCAAAACCATAGTATAGATAGTTTAAACTCATTTAAAATATTGTCCGTACCTCTAATGGACCTTCCAAAACCTTGACAGTGTCATTAATGAATACAGTCTTCTTGCGCTGATCTAATGCAGCTAATTTCTTATCAAAAGACATGTTCTTTAACTCACGCTGTTCAACAGTCACCACTAATGGTCCTTCCGAACCCTCTTTTAAAATCTGGAACAACACATTACAGTTAATTCGCCAACAGTCACCACTGATGGTCCTTCTGAAAGAATATAGCATACCTTAAAACTATCATCTTTCTCTGTGCCGATTATAACCCCGCAATTCTTCCGACTGCAACAAAAATGCAAAAAGCAGATTAATAGATCCAGTTGGTTAAAAAAAAAAAATGACACAACAAAATTAGGTAGCAAACTTACCCAAAAAACACTAGATCATGCACTTCAAAACTACTTCCCGTGCCAGAGCTCGATGAACACTCTCCTTTCTCTCCTTTCCCACCCCCTTTGTCACCCTTTGTTGTGGGTGTGAGTGTGGGTTTTTTCTTTTGATCACCATAAAGCTGGGAAAGCCATTCGAGATCACCAGATTCTTCTTTCGTAGAAGACATAAACTTTAGAAGTTCATCTTCAGAAGGAGTCACAGCCCAAAAGCTTAATGAGTCGATGGATACTTTTTTGTATATAAAACCATCCTTAAACATCAACCCATCAAGAGCCTCTAACATTTCTCCAGTATCACGGTCACGTCTATATTGAATGAGAGGCCGGAATTCCCTACAAGTAAAAAGTTCATACAATAAAATAACATGTACAATATATACCACTAACATGACATTATATGATGAGAGCATGTATATTACTCGAGTTCACTAGAGCTGATCAATCTCGGTGCCGGGGTAACAGTCTTCTTCGGAGTAACTCCTCCAGCCTGTGCATATGATGAGATAAGTGAATTGCAGACTACTACATGCACTGACGATGATAAGGAACATAATGTTGCCAATCAAAACGCCCAGATAAGGAGGCACCAGAAAGTCCCAAAAATGATCCATACAGTTAAGTGTGCTACAGCATAAATTTATTACCAAAATATATGCATCACAATTCTCAATGAAATTACCCACTTCCTTAGTAGTGACAAACAATTTGCATCAGTGTTCACAATTTCAATTGCTCGAAGATGAAAATGTAAAGACTATAAAAGTGTCATTTATACTGCTACAATCTATATATATCTATAAAGTATCTTCTTCTTGACTGGTCTAGCTACAAAAAAAAAAATAACATATAACAAATTATGACATATTATGATTTATGTAAATGAAGTTGAGAAACACTCACAAGGGAGCAGAAGTCCAAATTAGATATATGACCAATCATGGTTGGATCATTCAAAGCCAGCACAATTGACTAGTATTTTATGTGAATTAAGCTAGAACAGTCCGGAAAATCGCACATTGGGACAAAATTACAATTGAAAGTACCCAAGGGAGCAAACAAAAGGATTTACTTGTATCATTGTTTTAAGGTGCAATTACGATAACAATTTCTACACATGCTCATTTATTATACCACGAAGGCAGCAGGATAATTAAAAAATAATAATTTAATTAAAACAATACTACAAACAAAATTTCATTACAAAGGGAAACACAACAATTTGGGCCAATAGTGACTCAATTAGATCTCAAAAAAAAAATAATAATAATAATAAATAATTAATTAAAAAAAAAATATGAGAAAATAAAAAATTAACCAAATGGATATCCTGAAAACAAACAGCAGTTTCTACTTTTAGGCTTGTGTTGGTCACAAAGAACTTATTCTTTTCTTAAAAAATAAATAAAAAGGAATATCTGTGATAGGTAATTCTTGTCACCAACAAAAGTAGAGAAATATACATATAAAAAAAAAAGGTATAAGTTAATCTTATTACAAATTTTTCAGCCATTAATTGTAGATCAACTCTTGGGATCAGCTTTACTGTAGCTTTTTTCCGTGCATGATTCACAGCCATAACCTACAAAAATATATTTGTGGCAGAGAAAAATATCAAAACCAGCTAAAAAATAGGTAGGTCAACCTGAGTAAATTGACAGAGGAGAAACAGCATGGTAAATAGCAGGTGCAACAGAGAAACACATGATACCTGTGCTAGATCCCCCTTGTATTTCCCATTCTTCACGCGAGCCCATGTGCCTGCAGAAACTTCGTTGTATTTGCTTCGAACAGAGAGTAAATGAGAGACTTCATTCTTCGGGACAGGTGACACTCGAGTGGAATATACACTACAAAGTCCTTTACACGCCTGCAGTTAATGATAACAAACTATCCATTACAGTTTACCTACATTATACTTTGAAGCAATAAAATTAGTGGCAACAACAAAAGCATTCTTTCTCTGGAGAGAGAAAGAAAGATATAGTAAGTTAAGGAAAAAAAGAGTACCTCATTAACATCCCATTGTTTGTCAGCTTCAATATAAATAAAACCTTTCACATGCTCAAGTGAAAATGCAGAGACTATCTGCAGTTTACTTCCTAGGGATTGCAAGTCAACAAATTTCTGCATGAGGCAGAAAACTGAATGCCTCTCGCGTCCAACCTACAACCAGAAATTTGATCAGGAAAGCAAAGGAGAACGAATAGAGGAGAAGAGAGATAAGAGGTGCTTTCATGAAACATAACTCCTAGGTCACTAAACACTATACCATGCATTTGACTTTCCAAACAGTTGGATCCTTAGCAGAAGGAATAAATGCATTTCTTTCAACTGATCTTTTAGACTCGTATCCATCTTCTGCATACGTAACAAAACTGGAACCTGGTCTGTAACGCTCTTCCAAATATTTTTCCAGTTCTTCCTCACTCATCTCCTCTTCTTTCGGCAAAAATGGAACATTATGGACTTTTCCAGGTTCTTTTTTGACTTTAACCTCTGTGTCGGATTCATCTTCCAGAAAATCTGTTTTCAGTTTTGAAAAAAAGTAAGGAACAATGTGGTCACTCTTAACATAAGTGAAAGATTTCTTTTATAAAAGCGAGCAACCATGACGTCCCATTCTTGATGGACATAGTCATCCAAGGAATCCATGAATGCTTCCAAGGAAGATTTCTTATGCTTTAGTTGAGCAGGTTCACCAGGAAGCCAAACATCCAAACCAGAAAAATACATATACAACAAGGAGGATCATATTCTCTATGCCAAGTAACAAAGAATATCACATTCTCTCTACATCACTCTATCAACAACAGAATACATGTAGCATTGATCAAATGAACCTTCTAGAAAGGTCCTAATAAGAACCGCAGTAAGGAACGTTGTAAAACTAGCTGTCTAGTTATATGAGCACGACTATATCGTCGCACATGCTTAAAAAGTTTAGAAGAAGCAAACTAAGAATACATTATTTAATCAATTGTTGTTGTTGTGGTGGTGTGTGTGTGTGCAGGTGTGAAAAGTGGAACCATCAGAATAATTCTTCACATAAAACTTGACTATTCAGATTTATTCACCATTTGGTGATATCAAAATATACTGATTATTTTCCAGATGATACATTGATAAACATGCATGCACATCTAAATCATGGAAATGTCCATCAAAGAAATGTCCATGAACGCTCTATTTCTCACAGTTGTTCTTATAAATAGAAATAAAACTATCTAAGCTAGCCAAATGCAATGAGATTAGTTGTCATGGTACTTAAAGAAAGCAGTTTATTGCCCTCTGCTGGTGGATCGCCCTTCTCGTCTTCCCTTCAGCTAGGGTATCTTGAGTCCACATGCGGTTCTTTGAGACCTGGCTCTGATACCAGTTGTTGGGATGGGGGTATCCAACCCAAAAGGTTCACGGTGAAGCAACACTTGCCCCATATACGTCCCAAATTTCCTTATTCATTAACAGATGTGGGACTCGTTCAACTACCCAACAGTATTAAAAACAAAAGTTGAATAACTTAAAAGATTACCTGAGTAAATTTTTAGCAAAATAGAATACTATACAAAAATAATGGAGAAGCCCCCCATATATCAGCTTAGCAACATAGAACCCCAGTTTCAATGATTTCATCATGGGGCTAGTGAACTTCTTGTTCCACACAAGTGTAATTGAGCTATTATTCAGTAGCAAACCGATCATGTTTACCCAATGTGTAACCAGCATCCACCACACAAAATCCCCATAAAAGAAATAAAATCAACTTATCAAAAAAAAAAAAAATCAAATCAAATCAAATAAAAAAACCAGGTATACACGGATATAAGAATAAATACAACCCACATTTCATTTAAGTTACACGTAGAACCCACAAGAAACCTTCATGAAACAAATAGACCGAAATTACCTCAGAGAAAGAAAAAAAAAAAAAACAAATTGACCGAAATTCTTCTAAAATTGCAATTAGTTAACTCAGAACCTTGAAAATAAAATCCTATAAGTTCAAGTAATTGCAGCAAACAGAAGAAGTATAAAACCCTAAATCAAACAAATTCCACCTACATTTTTGTAAAAACTCTTGTACAACCGGTAAGAAAACTCAATCGCTGCAAATAGACATTTACTTTGACCAAAGTTTGCTGCAAATATGTTAAAATTTTGAATCTAAAACCCTAGAAAAAGATGCAACATCAAAAACAAAACCTATACCGTCCCAACACAAATCCACCCAACAATTCACTCCAAAACCACATCCAAGCCATAGAACATCTCAATCGACTGAAAGAAGCCCTGATATCATCAACATTTCGGCAAATGAGCCCAGAAACAGAGTCAAAAATCCCATAAACTCACGCGAAAATCATAATTTAATCAAAAGAAATAGGGATTTAGTTTTTGGTTTTTACCATCGAGATCATCGTCGCTCGACTCATTTTCGTCGAATTCGTCTGCAGCGTCCTCGAAGAACTGAAGAACGCCGGGGTTCTTCCTCTTCCGGCGGCCGGTTTTGTCACTGTCGTAGTCGTGCTTTCTCTTCGTCGACGAGTCCTTGCCGGCGACTTGTTTGCCCTTGGACACCATTTTCAGCTAAGAACATCAAGGTTTTTGAGAGCTAAAAAGGACAGAGACACCAAGGGAGAGAGAGAGAGAGGGGTCTGATAGTGTGACTAGGGGAATATCAGAGGTTATTTATTTGGTGGAATATGATGTTTATTTCCGTTTATGCCCTTGTTATGCGAAATGGATGATTCTATGTTATTGGAAACTTGAGGAGTATTTCTGTCATTTCGGTCAAAGAAATAGTTGGGAAGGGAAGGAAATGGAATTGTCTAGTGTTTGTTTTGTAAAATACTAAACGAAAAAGAAAATATTTGGAGGAAAAATAGAGGAGTTAATTAATTCTAATTTTCTTCTATTTCAAAGTTGTGAGGAAATGGAGAAAAAGGATGAGAAATTAGTAATTACGTATTATTCTTCTATCTTTTAACATGTGAAATTATATTTGTCATTACCACTCACAAAATAAATAATTCATTATTTTTCCTACTTTACTATTTTTTCCAAATACATCATGGATTGTAACTATTATTTTTTATTATTTCTTTTTTTCTCTCTCATAAGTTATTCAAATATGATTAGAGGATAACATACTTTCCTCTTATTTCTTCTTTTTCCTATAGTAACTTACATTATTATCTCAGTTCTCTTTTTCATTCTAGTTATCCAATAAAACCTTTGAAAATTATTAGCATTCCATTTTTGTAATTTTTAAGGTCTATTTGATTTTTTTTAATAAATGAGATGACGCAATTAGTATTTAAAAGTGTGATTTAAGAGTACTTTATGATATATAATTATAAAATGTGAGATTGCTTTCACAATAATTATATGTCATTCTTTTAGAAAATATCACATTGTAAAAGTTGAGTGTCACTATATTTTTTTTGACATTTGTCTCATGCATCAAGGATAATTTTGACATTTACAGGCGTTCTCATGTTTTGTTTGCTGAAAGAAAGGAAATAGGTGATAAATTTCTTTCTTTGGCGAGAGAAAATGGACAATGTGACTTTGAATATTGTATACTATATAGTTGGTTTAATATATTAAAAAAAAAAAAAAAAAAAAACAATTCAATGTGTTGGCAATATAATGAAGGATAAGCTGAATATTCTAACCTTTTTAGAGCCAATATTATGGCAAATGTTTGTTTGAATTTTTGTTTGAATTTTGAAAAAAATAAAAATTATTGGTATACAAAGAAATGACTCATTTTACATGAATTTTACACAAAATACTTAATTAACGAACGAAGGTGAACTTTGAAATTTTTTTATTTTTTAATCCGACAAAAAGGGAAAAAATAGGTTAGTCGAATTTAAGTTGTCATGTACCTATGTGTTTGGATGGGATGATTTGGAGGGATAGGGAGAGAAAAGAAACAAAAAAAAAAAAAAAAAATGATAGGGGTCAATTGTGTTTGGGTGAGTTAAATGGAGAGAAAATAGAGGGTAGAAATATCCTCCTTGTCCCTCATTTGCTATCTCTCCAAAATTGAGAAGGTATGGTTTAGGTGGTATTTGTTATTTCATTCAAGTCCTAGTTATATAAAGGGTAGGATAGTAATTTTGTTATTATCTTTTATTTTATTTTCTCTCCTTTATTTTATCCAAACAAAAATGACTATCATTTCTTTTATTTTCTTTCCTATCTATCCAAACATGAATATAAATTATTACTATCATTTCTTTTATCGACTAACCAAGACCATCTTCGATACAAAATACCATTTTTGCATACCAAATCTATATTTTGAAAGGAACTGCAGTGTCAAAATATTATATTTTAACAATTCTACTCTAATGGTGCTTTTTATTCAAAATACTATTTTTTGACACAACAATCATTATTTTTCAATAATCTTAAAAAAGTTATATTACTATCATTTTTCTTTCTCTCTTATCTATCCAAACACGCCTAGAACTCCCTCAGTCCCTCTACCAACTGAGCTAAACCAAAGGCAAGAACGAAAATACAACAAAAGGCACAACCCATAAACTCCTTGAGTCAACTTCATTTTCGCAACCCAACTCATATTATTGTCCTATTAAGAATTCAAAATTTACTTTTTTTAACCCGTGATATTCGTGTAAGGCCTCTTGTAACCTTACTTAAAATGAAAAAAAAAAAAAAATTTAGTGTTTTTTCCTTTTTCTATTAGTCTTGAAACTTTGATATAGGGTTTGAAAATTAAATTTTAAAACCGCTAGAAAATAGAAGTTGATCCCAATAATTTGTTAAACCCAAATATAATGATAGGAAGATCATTTATAAAGAAATTAAGGGAAGAATGAACTTTGAGTGATTGGAAGTCTGGTGACATGACAAACCTCTCCCTGAATAGAAAATCAAGGAGAGATTGAACTTCACTAACTAAAAACAAAAAAGGTTGAAACTTCAAGCCATATGGTATAAGTAATTAATCTCTCTCAAGTCTTTACTAATATGCTACCTCATAGCCCTTTTGCAAGCAGAACATATAACTTATGTCTTGCTTTTGGATTGAGAAATGCTTTATATTTGGACAATAAGGTTCTGATGTAAAATATTTTTTAAAAAATATATATTTTTATTTTTTTAGTGTTTGATTGTCGTAAAATATTTACAAAAAAAAAATTAAAATTTAACAAAAATAACTTATCCATTAATTTTTGACAACTAATTTTACATGTCCTGCCCAATGAACTCAACCTCAACCTTGACATAGACTTTTGCCAAATTCCGAAAAAATAAAAATAAAAGAATATTTTACCTGAAAAGAAAAATATTTTCCAAAAAAAATATTTTACGTCAAACAGAACCTAAATAAAGAACAATTTCATAACATAGTGACGGTTGATGCGGACCAATAATAAATGAGTATATCATCTTTAAGTACCAAATTAAATATGGTAGGTAGATACCTACTTACCAAATCAGAAATGATGATTTGATTAATATTTATAATTTGGTAATTAAAATATGATGTGTCTATTTATTATTGGTCAACATCATTAGTGTAAATTCTCACTAATGAAGACCTAAGTATTGTCCATAAATATATGAACAATATTTAGGTTATCACTGACTGTTATTGTGAACAATAACTATTTAGTATATATATTTTTAACTGACGTCTTGACCTAATGGTAACTATTTACAGGTAACTATGTCTAAGTGTGTATTTGTCATCATATATATAGTCTATTTAGATACGGAAGTCGCCTTTCTCAAATTATAGTCTATTTAGATATAAAAATCCTAAACCTTTCTAAAATAAAAACTTTTTCGACCGTCCATTAATCCATAACCAATTTAATATGGTAAAATATGTTTGAGGAGGATTTGTCAAAATCAGAATTTGGGGAGAATTAAAGAACACTGAGAGGCTTAAACCCTTTCCTTTTAAAAACTGTTCTTCATACTTCAATATATTAGCAGTTATATACTAAACAATCAGTGATAAGTAATTCGGCAAAAAAAAGTTGATACGTACCCTAGATTCCTATTTCAATTTTAAAACAGTTCCAACTATATTGTCCTAGCTAGTAATACTACTAATACTAATCATAACAGATGACAAATATGTATTTCACAAAACAGAGTCCTATAAAGAGGTGTATATATAATCAAAGGCCCTGTCCAGTGGAGTTCCAAACTCAAAAAAAAAAAAATTGTTTATTCTAATATTGGAGAGTCCATTGCCTTTTGTTGCTTGTACTTAAAATCACCATCATTAAGAGATAGTCCTTCATTTACTCCAACTTTTTTCTGCATTTTGTTCATTTATAAAATCTTTCACTCTTAAATCTCCATTAGGCTAAAGAAGTAAGATTATTAATGTGGCAAATCATTAACCACGTTAGTTTTTCTTCATGATTATTAAAGCTCTTTGAAAAACAAAGACAACCATATATAATCGAAGGAAGAATATAAACTTACCGATCAGTTTTGTTATCGATTAATGTGGCAATCATCGAGTTTAAAACTATTCTTATCAAACACAAAATACAAACTTACAATGAAGTTAAACACTTCCTAGAGTAAACTTGCTTGGCAAAAATTTTGAAAAAAAAAGGGAAATAAATTAGAAGGCATAAAAAAAAATGTTCCTTTCACCATACAAAGAGAGATAAAATAAAATTTTGAAAGCACGTACAAAGACATTGTTTAAATGCTCTCCTTTTGCTCTAAAACAATAATATATATATATATATATATATATATATATATATATATATATTAGAACATTCACCTTCATTGCAATTCCATCTTAATTTCTAGCTCTCACCTTCTGGTTACTTTGCAGTAGTAGAAACCAATGCCATTTCCTTCTCATTTGCTTCCATTTCCTCCCTAAACTTCTTATAGATGTCACTCTTATAATATGCAACAGTCCTATACACCAAAATCAGAGAAATAAGTGCCCCAACCAAATTTGTAACGGCTAGTATTATAAAAGAGAGCCTATAACATTGCTTGCCAATGCAAGTCAATTCCTTCACCATTGATCTAGTCATGCCCTTGAGTGCAAGTTGCTTCAATGCCTCCTCGTCATAAAGCTTCCCAACAATTCTCACATTGAGTACGTATGATCCAATCGGGCTTGCCAATTGGCCACAATTGAAAAGGGTAGCATAATTTTTCAATCCAAAGAGCTCCGATATGATGACGAAAACTAGAGTGAGTTGCGCACCATAGGAGAAACCAAGGAGCAACGAGGCGACGTAGACTGAACCGGGGAATGGGAATGCAATGAGGATGTCACCAACGCAAGGTAACAAAAGGGAGAATGTCATGATAAGAGTGCGCGGGATTTTCCATTTTGTTAGGATTTTTTCGGAGCCGAAACCTGCAGCAACTCTCCCAAAGTAGTTCCATATGCTCATGAGTGACACAAATGTGCTAATGGTTTGGGTCGGGTAGCCTAATGACTCCCCAATTTGCCCCAAATTGTCAATTGCGGTCAAGCTGCAACCTAGTCCACACAATGTAGCCACAAAAAGGATAATCATGTCAAGGCTCAGTAGGGCTTGCATTATACCATAATCTTCACCTCTTGGTGGCTTCTTGAAGATGTTCCCGCCACAACACGGAGCTTCCTCCTTCTTTGCAATTAGGGTTGTCGAAGACTCGGCTGCAGCCTCCACCGGCTTTGGCTCCGGCAACGGCGGTTCCTCAACCACAACACCAACACTACTAGTAGGTGCACTCACTTGTTTCCTCTGCTTCCACGTTGCTAATTCTTCTCTGATTGCTATAAACAATGGAAGGAAAAGCAACACACAAACAGCAGTTGCACTTACTATGTAGGCATTGTGTGAGAAATTGACTTTTTTTTGAGCAATGGTTAGTCCCATGAGACACAAAGCCAAAACAATTGATATAAATAGATATTGGTTGAAGACCTTTTCCTCATTAGGGTGTCTAGAAGTTTTCAATTCCCTAATGTTGAAAACAAATAGTATCGAAATCACTGCGGGCAACCAACCAATTAATAGAATCAGAGACTTTGCATCGTTCCCATAAATCGCATAGTAGAGTTGCGTGAAAATGGCGCCACTAAGCCCTACGAAACCCTTCATAAGACCTAGCATCTTACCTCTACTTCCCGGGAAATTCTTCACACAAGTCACGAGGGAGCCGGTGTTAGCGAAGTTCTGCGAGTTTGCGCCAATAATTATGTACGCACACATCTGCCACACCGCCGGCTTCGCGATACGTTTCGTGACGGCCAGCCAGATGAGGAAGTATCCGGCGAAGTTCATGGCGGAGCCGACTAGGAGCACGAACCACACCGGGACTACCTCGGCGAGTAGGCCGGAGAGGACACCGACATTGGCACCGAGGTCTTTGCATGAGCCTATTAGGTTTAGGGTTGATTGGTCGTAGCCGAGAGTGGCCTTGATTTCCTTGGAGTAGACACCGAAGAGATAGGTTGCGCCCGCGCCGGCCATGATCAAGAAGGAGGCAAACATCATGAACCACCGTCCGATGAGGAATTGGACCGTGAACCGGCATAGTCCACAGCCTGAGCTTGATCTTGAGCTATGGTTGTTCACCATATCAGCCATGGTGTAAGAAAAGTGTACGTAGGGTTTAGAAGGTGAACAAGGGCATGGAAATGGACTGAGAGACTAGCTAGGGTTTAGGTTTTGGTAGTGAAAATGGGGGATGAATGTAGGTTATAGAAGAAGAAGAGAGTGTGATCTGAACCTATTTTTGTGGGATTTAAAGAGAAAATATATGAGTTTTGGAGATAAAATAGATTCAGATGAGATAAGATTGTTATGGATAAGTGTTAGGTTATTAGTGGGTTGAGGTTTTTTAATTCATCCACAGCTCCTGTGAGTTTCAAATTGTTAGTTAGCCAAATTCTGTTTCGAGTGGCATGCAGAGATAATCGATCGGCACTTTTCACTAAATGGGTCCCACTATAACGATAATTTTTCTTACCCAATATCTAGTAATAGTGTTGAATCATGATCTTGCAGGTTTATTTTTTTTATTTTTTTATTTTTTATTTTTTTTGAGGGTAATTTTATTTGAATCCAAAAATTAAAATGATTAGTATATAACACAAAGAAATACTACGTATGACGAATACTAACATCTATTGGTCACTTTTTCAATTATTTTTATTTTTATTTTTATTTTTTATTTTTTTGGTCGATGATGACACTTTTTTTTTTTTTGTATAGACTAGGCAATTCCTTTTCTTAATATATTTTTCTTTTTTTTTTAAGGGAAGAAAACTTTCGTTAAAATAGATTAAAGATGATTACAATCTCTGATTATCCTCTCTTCAATAAAAGCATAAAAAATAAATAAATAAAAGCATAAAAAAGCATTTGAAAAATAAACTGTGGGCCATCAAAAACCATACCGAGCATTTACCATCAGCCAAACAATTTGCTCGTCTCTTGACCGATTCCATCTTCAGAATAATATGTTGTAGCAACGTTCTCACACTTCTTCCTATTTCAAGACTAATCTAACAAACATAACTTAGAGCTATTAAAACTGATGGATGCTGAAGAAGTGTATAACCACTTTTCTATATATATATATATATATATACACACACACTAATAAAAACAAAACATTTGGTGAAGGCTTTATTATACACTTGGGTAGCATGCGACCGTTCTCAATTAGCCACTGCATGTAATTCCCACTTGGCTGACAATTTGTTAGACATTTCGTCTTTTTCTTATTTATTAAATGTATTTTATGCCTTGTCTTTTTTAGCACTGAAATTCAAATTCAAATCAATTAATTTAAATTGAATAAGATTCAATATTCAAATAGGATAATACTTAGATTCTAATAAATAGATATGTCATAGTTTAATTATCAAATCATAAATGGTAATCAAATCACATCACCATATCTGATTTGGTAAGTGGGTGATTTGATTACCATTTGATAATTAAAATAAGACGTGTCCATTTATTATTGGTTCATAATAAATATAATGTGAGTATTCTTCATTCAAATAACATGATATTCAAAAGTACTTACCTTAGCTGCGTTTAGTAACGAGAAACATTTTTTGTTTTCGTTGTCAACCTCTAAAAAGACAAAACGAAAACAAAAATCGCGTTCAATAAAATGTTTTTGTTTTTCTATAACAGAAAACGTTTTCAATTTTTGTGAAGAAAATATAAAATATCAAAATAATGTTTCTTATATTTTCGGCACTGTAGCGCAAAAACGTTTTCACTAATGTTACTACATATGCATTATTCATTTCAAATAAAATTCATATTATTTGTCTTATATACTAAGTTGCATATTAAATGTTAATAAAAATATATATTTTTAATATAGAATAAATTAAATGTTGTATATTATTTTTTATTTGATAAAAGTATATACTAATATATAATATATTAAATAATAATGTAAATTATTTTTTTGTGACAAAATAATTTTTGATATAGAATATAATATTATTAAATTATTAAGCAGTAGATATTTTATATTATTATATATCATATCTATATTATATTATATGTAAATATTAAATCATAATTAATTTACAATATTATAACACAAAATATATTTTATTCCATATAAGATATATTATTTAATATTTTTTATTCATAATAATTTATCATTAGCTAAATATATTATATATCACATAATAAATTTACATGTATTTATATACATAATTGGTGGGAATGTTTCTATCTTGGTATATCTAATTTTGTACTTATGATATATTGGGTATTTTTAAGATTTATAATCTTAAATTAGATTTTCTAGATTTATGACTTTTTGATATTAATAGAAGCAAGTGTCCCTCCCCCTCACCCTCCCCTCTAACCACTAACTCCTAAAATTCTTGCGATGAAAAAAATAAAAAATTAAATAAAAAAATTAAAGAATATTATGTACATTTTGTAACAAATATGTTATATTTACTAAACACTATTCTTGTTTTATATTTTCAAATTTGTGACAACAACAAGTGTTAATAAATATCATTTATGTTTTCAATTTTCACTCAAGAAAGCAAAGAGTGATTAAAGAGTGAGTTAAGAACTACACTTTTAAAGCCAAGTTTCATTCTCTCTTTTAGAGTCAGATTTTTTCTATATTAAAACTAATATCTAACAAGAAGAAACCTAAGGGTTAAGGTCATGTTTGGTTAGATGGAAATAGCAAGAAAAGAAAATTAAACCTTTAAAAGTTTTGATTAGGAGGAAAAAGAAAATTATTTTTCATAACTACATAATTTTTTCATAAAATTTTGATTTCAAATTCGCTCACAGGCCGAAAGAGGGAGAGTCAAACATCTAACCTCCTTTTCACTAGACCGATGATTGATAGCTCTTGTTAAGTAATGTGATACTACAAAAATTAAGCCTAACAAGTCATTCAATTTCTAGCATTCAACCCTAATCTAATCATGTAGACGACGTAAACACATCCAGTTTCTACCCTTCAACCCTAAAAACTTTATGTCATTCAATTGTTTTCATAATTAATATTATTTTTGTGGATGTTTGATCAAATGCCCACCTCACATATTTATTATATGTTGACTTATTTATTTACGCGAGATGGCTCGAATTGTTCTTGTTCTTGCCTCAGATGTAACAGGGCCCCTTTGTAATTCCTCATGGGCTAAGGCAATGCTTGGCCTTTGTTTTTTTCCCTAAATAAACATGCTGACTTTCCGAATAAATAATAAAGAAAAAGTAAAAAGACTTATATGGTGATGCATGGTCATCACATGAACATCACTCTATGAATCATAGTGTTTATTATTCTAATATTTCAATGAATAATTAAAGTGAACTATTGGACCATATACCTGCATAAAATCCGATTGACTTTATATGGGATATGCATCATGAGCATGATAAAATTAAGCACCTAATTCAACTATAAGATTGGCAAAATATAAAATATGAAAGAAAGAAGAAGAAGAAGAAGAAGAAGAAGATTAGAGTTTAATTTAAGAAGGAAAATTTAACTTTTAAAAAGGAATTTAAAGAGTAAAAGAAAAAAAGAACAAGAAGATTAATAGATAATTTTAGGGGGGCATTACATTAAAATTTCTCTCTATATATATAAATACCATATGTATTCAATTGACGGCCAAGCCAAGGGGGACAAGTGCCTCCCCGACATACATATATATATAAATACCATATGTATTCAATTGACGGCCAAACCAAGGGGGACAAGTGCCTCCCCGACATACATATGTATATAAATACCATATGTATTCAATTGACGGCCAAGCCAAGGGGGACAAGTGCCTCCCAGACATACACCGGCTCCGGCCTTGAATATCCTCTATTAATGGTGTTATACGTATCCATTTTGAACTCTTTGAAATTGTTCGTCGTCTCCAATTCCGTAGACTTTAGTAACCAAAATTTTAAGTACAATAACAACCAATTTTTTCTCAATTAGTTGGGGGTAAGCAAAATCAACGACAAATTTTGAGTGAATTACGTAAGTTGCATATCGAGAAGTTTATTTTAGTCCATCAAGCTCCTATGTTAGTACTTTTATGCCGAAAAAGGGGATAAACAAGAGCCAGATGGCAATAACTCTTAGGCATGTGTTAGGATAGATGCACAAATGTTCAATTGATCAACATTTCACTGCAAACCACACAGAGTCACACACACAGCTTAGATGCACTATATCAAGTATCAGAAGAATTCATGTCAGAAGATTATCATAGACATATCAAGACCAAAATAAATAAATAAATAAACAGATGATAATGAAACAGTGGAACACTTGTAAATTACATTTGCCATGCCACCTACAACATGGTGAAATTAAAGCTTACCATTTACTAAACTGCGCTAGACTATCTACATTTGAGCTAAAAAGGGCGGGAAAAAAAGAAGATTTTTTTTTTGCTGTAGCAGCTGTACAGTAATGGACTAAACTCCTAGCAGAATGCTCATATCCAACTTAATCCCAACCCATCAATTTCTTTCTGACACACTCTTTGATCTCCTTTCTGGGCAGAGAGCAGCCATCTGCTTCATCAAGTAATATCCTGTACACCTCCCACTCCCGATCGTGAATTCTATGTCGCCCAATCTCCACCTGGAAAAATGAAGAAGGAGCAGCATAATCCCATTAGCATAAAGATTATTTATGCAATCAAGAAGAAAGCCAGGATTGAATTAGATGTAGTACCGAAAAAATTTGAGTGTTTAGGAGCTTGAGAGCAAGGGTGATATCATAAAAAACGAGTGGGCGACCTCTGCCAGATAACTCAACAGGATTAGCCACTAGCAGCTCAGTGTCAGGGCCCCGGCTCACCATATCAATTCTAAGGGGACGGATGAGCTCCATTCTCAAACGAGAGCACAACGCGTTCTGCTTGTCAGGGTCAACTACTTTCTTCCCATCCACTTGCATTATGAACAAGTCCACCTCAAAGTTTCCACTTGGGTTAGCGAAGAATCGCCCATAAGAAACCTGATAGAAAGCATAAATTTTCATAACCTTAAAGGGAAATGAATGATATGGATCGAAAACTTTCTTGCCAGTTTGAAATCTATACCTGAATGTTGTAATCCTTTAAGGTTCTCATGATGTCATATATGAGACCTTTGTGATCTCGACAGAGGATTTGAATAAGAGTGTGTGAGCGGCTGAGGGAGTTATCCATTGTAACTGATATGTTGGAGGCAAGAGACTCATTTGGGCGTTCGCTAGGTAGCTCTAAACTGAACATTTCTTCTTTAATCGCGGAAGGAAGAAATGAGGACCCCGGTGAACATGCAGCAATTTCTGGACCAACCGGTTCAATCTCACAACTCATCATGGCATCCCCTAATACAGCCTTCAGATGATCAATTGTTTCCGCTTGTCTCTTCTCAGTGTGAAGAAGTTCTCTGTTGACAGAAAAATGGGCACAAATGATGTCAACTTCATACGGCAAAAGTTGAACCACGTTTAACTCAAATAATTAAAGGTCACACGGAAGGGAAAGAAACGTTCTGAAGAATAATAAATCAGATTCTAAATAACAAAGAATTTCCACTTATGTGACTTGTGGCCAAAATGTAACTTGAACATTGCATGACAGAGATTTCATATATAGCACTTGGAATTATTCAAAACCCGAGCATGGAAATATAATAGAGACCAAAACGTTTTAAAATTACTAAAAACAAGCTAACTGAAAGTAAATAGATTTGAATATATCTGATGCAAGATCCACTGTAAATACTAGATGGTATTACTTTTTCTCCTCTAATAATAATTATGGAATTTCAATGCTACAATTCTATCTCAATTCGTATCAAAATTCTAGATAAATTATCTTAACCTGTTTCTAGATACAAATTTCTGGCTTTTCTATGAGACAATGACATAACTGAGAAGAAAATTTATTATATTCCAAAGATGGTTACTATTATTTTATGGGTTTAGCAAGCGGGATTTGGCTGCTGGGATTTAGCAATTTAGCACAGTTAGAAGATGAAGACCGAGTTTGAGCTACCAGAAGACCTGAAACCAAGTTTTTGGACTTTAGAAAACAGACATTATCAGTAAAACAGCATACATTTTGATTGCTGATACATTTGATGCAACCCACCAAATGATGAGACAGGGACCTTAATGTGATGCAGCAAACTCACACCAACTCATTTACTACTAAATTTCCTCGGTAGTATAAGACTTGACACAAGTCACATTTAGACTGCATTTGGAACGTAAAATTAATCAAGCAGCCCTACGAATGATTCCACGAGGCTAGCAATTCCAGTCTGCCCTTTTCATTTTCATTTTCTTTATGTTTGTGCTAAGCCAATATTAAGACATTTCTGAGGGAAAATGAAAGCCAAATAATGCAACTGCTCAATCATAGGCCACGATAGATCTCAAAGACACTAAAAAAATGTAGGCCTCATTTCACAGCACTTATTTTTGCATCCACTCCAAACTCTCAATTTGAGAAAATGCAAAGCCGGAGCAGATGCAACAAATCTGAGGTGGATTTAGTGCTACCTATTGCAATTGTGCTTCCTATTGTAACTTAAAATTACTATAATATAATTTTCTACACTGTAGCCTACAAACGTACCATATAAACTTATCAAATCAGATGCACGCCTCATCTGAAGTGATTGCCACGCTTATTATGGAAGCATAGTGGACAAATCCCACCAATTACACCATCCTAGATCCAGGATCAGTAATATGCAAGGTGAATTGTTGCATTCACTTCATTGACTTTTTAAAAGAATCCGAGAAATTAAACAGGATCATCCACTTGACAATACTATTTTTTATGCCCTTTTGAGGAGGCTGATTCAGCAATCTGAATCAGTAGGATGCATAAGGTTGATTCACTTGAAGCATTCTTAGTGAAAACATTTTAGCACATTGAGTCTCCTTTCTTCATTGTAACAAAGTAACCAACTATTAACAATTTTTGCTGCTTTTATATTGCTCTTCAACATTTAATGCCAAATGTAACCACGCACCAAGGCGAATTTTGTCTCCTAAACAGTGCTACCATATTTTGAATAAAACGTCACCTATTTCACAAGTGAAGCAGGTGCTACGTGCCACTTGAACTATATTATATCTATCTGGTTAATGCTCCATTTGGTTGCTGAGGACACAAGGGAAATGAGACTTCGGAATTCACAAAGAATTCACAAAGCATTACTAAAAATCTAAGGATATACCAGTCATAAGATTCTGGATTTTATATCTTCTGTTCCAAAGGAAACCGTAGGGAATCAAAGAAACAAAATAAAAGACATAGGGGAAATGATAAGTAGAAACATGGCACTACAGGATACCAAAAAAGACAAACCTGGTGTCTGTGACAAAGAAGAGATCCATCACTCTCCCATCCGGTGTTGTGGATACCTTAACTCTCTTTATCGTAAGCTCTAGCTCACAAAGTACCTCGGTCACAACTAAAAAATGGAAATGAGATAAAACAAATAAAGCGGCAGATTAAAGAAGTAAACGAATTTCTCAACCATAATAGAATAACATTTGAAAACTTAAAAAATATATATATAATTAACTTATTTCTTTCCAAGCAATGCTAAATACTCCCATTCCTGAACTTTGAATTCTATTTATTTTTCCCAGTGTTTTAATAAGTACCATCATTTTTGGCTTTAATCCCAACTTGGCATTGCCACAATGGTCCGAACCGAATGGGGAGTCGGAATTCCATCAAGAGCAAATAGGACAAGCAATAAAGCATATTCCATTCTCAATCTCTTGGAAAATCCAAATTAAGCTAAAATTTTCCCAATCTCTTGGAAATATTTTACATATGAAATATGAATACCAATCAGATCTAGACCATGAATTTGCAAAGAGAGAACTGATTCCAAATGCTGGCATTACAATATCCCAAGAAAATTAAATAATGAAAAAGAAAGAGTACCATGTAAGAGGCCTTTCTGATCATGACAACACCAGAATTTCAATAGGAATACATCCGATGGCTTGCGCTGCTGAAATTCAGGTCTGTAATAGTAAATTCTCGAAGCTGCTGGCAAACATGTTGGACACACTTCCAATAGTCTCTTCTTCAACAAGTTCCACCTTGTTGTTGGCTTTCCAACTACCCAAAAAACTAAGTAACACCATTTACCATCTGTTGAAACATCTACACAACAGACAACATCAAGAAATGTAGAATATCAATCTCAAATTAATGTCATTTGTTGCCCTAAGAAATTTTAAATTGCAATTAATTTTACTAAATAGAAAATTTAGATAAATAGTAGCAACCAGAATGACCCAAGATTTCTTTTCCTTTTTTTATTTATTTATTATTTTTTTTTTTTTGTAAATCTCAAATCCAATTAAGGTACTTCGAAAAATTGAAGATAAAATTAGAAATCAAAATGACCCATCTTTTGTTATCCTAAGAATTTTAGAACAAACCAAAGGAGTATTCGAGAAAAAGTATAATAACCCAACATTCACTTTTCCAAATAATTTCAGATCCCACCCAAAAATATCAAAAATTGAAGGAGGGAAAGCAAAAACATGAACAACCCATCATTTTTTTCAGTCCAAATCTCAAATTTTGCCAAGAAAAAATCAAATACAGAAAAAAGAACATAGCAAATCAAAATTTGAGAGGGGGAAAGCAAAAAATCAGAACAACCCATCATTTGTTTCAGTCCCAAATCTCAAATATTGCCAAGAAAAAATCAAATAGAGAAAACAGAACATATATAGCAATATAAAGGAACATAGATAGTGATTTGATACCTCCTCTAGCAATGCTCAGGCCAAACAGCAAAATAATCCTACACAAATCACATCCCAGTCCAGTTTTGTCTGGACAGTTCACAGTAATAACAGTGTGATCACCTGCCTTCTCAGCTTCTTTTATCAATACCACATCTTCATACAAAATGCCCATCTCTCTCTATCACTCACTCTTTCTCTCTCTCTCTCTCTCCTCTGCTTTATACTATGTTAGTATTTTCTCTGTTTCTTCTTCTATTTTGGAATAAAGAAGAGTAGATAGAGAACACAACAACAGATGGGGTATTTTCTCTCTCCCCTTTTGTTGAATCAACAGGGAGAAAGATGTTAGATTCGATTAAAAAGGGATCAGAACCCAACCAATGGTTCATGATAAATTGAAGATACTATCTCTCTCTCCATCTCCCATTTTTTCTTGGGTTTTGCTTTTCCCTCTTACATCCAATTTCTCGTTTCAAGACCCGGGACAATGATATAGAAATAAAAAGAGAAATGCTTAGACGCATTTGTGTGCATATAAGTCTAGCTACGTGTTAGAGTCATATTGGTTGCTTTGAAACTTGCCACTTGGACCCTCCAATCAGAGTAGATATTGGGTGAATGAGCATGCCATGTTAATAGTATACCCAGTCAATCAACATGTGCAAATTCAATCAATTTGGTTGCATATATGCATAAAAATTGATCTTAACCGACTAAAATAGTGCATACCAATAGTATGGTAATGATACGGCCGGTCTCTAGAAGGAAATTGTCCGAATTACAAATTTTGATTCATCATCTTTACTATATGTAAAAAAAATTAAGTGTTTCACTTTCTTATAGGTCAAACAATACATTTTAAGTAATAAGAAATTACTCTCTCGGTCTCAAAAGAAAATATACAGTTTTTCATTTTTGGTTGTACCAAAATATATAAATATGTATTATATTTGAAAAGTCAAAGTATCAAATTTTATAATATTACCAATTTATTCTTCTTAGATTGGAGTTATAAAAAATAAACAATCATGTCCTTTGGACTCGCTGTGGATAGTTTATGGACTTATTATATAATTTAGTAATTTATTTCTTTACTAGTACAATAAAAAAATACTAAAGCTCATACTATAAAAAAGTATTAAAATTTATTTTCTTAAAATATTAAATTTCTAAAAATAGACATTTAATTTGAGACCGAAAAAATATTATAACCTCGTAAGCTAGACATTTCTGACATTTAAGTTAAGGGCTAATTTATAGGATCCAAACAATTCGGACCCTTGATCATGTCCACTAGCGGGTCATTAAAATTTTGGTCGGGAAAACAGTGAAAATACTTGTTCATGATGCTGCAATGGTGCATAATAAAGTCATGTCAACAAGTTATGCCCAATTGTTATTTCCAATCCGAGAAATTAGTGGAGAAATTATTATGAGATGCTTCTAACCATCAATTACATGGACATGGACAATGATATAGAAATAAAAAGAGAAATGCTTGCATGTATTCGAATGGACATGGACAATTATTATGGATATGGTTCATGTTTTTTCAATGGGATAGTCTAAACTGAACTCCATGATCAAGTGTCGGTAGAATCATCTAACAAAATGATTAAATTTACGTGAATAGAGAATGACAAGGGGATTAAATTTATGTGAATAGAGAATGACAAGGGACAATGATATAGAAATAAAAAGAGAAATGTTTGGATGTGTTTGTATGTATATAAATCTAGTGACGTGACGTATTAGAGTCATATTGGTCGCTTTGAAATTTGCCACTTGGACCCTCATCAGAGTAGATATTGAGTGATAATTCTAAGTGGTGATACTTCGGTCTGTCTCTTGAAGGGAATTGTCCAACTTATAAGTTTTAATTGATTATCTTTACTAAATATAATTTTTTTTTGAGGATTTCACTCTCTTATATTTTGTGTACATAATTAATCAAAACTCGTAAAGAAAACAATTCATTTTAAGTAATAAGATATTACAGTTATTACTTCCTTTGTCCCCAAAAAATGCACACCTTTTCATTTTTAGTTACCCTAGAATATGTATCCTATTTGAAAAGTCAAATTACCAATTTTTATAATATTACCAATTTATCTTACATTAGAGTTATAAAAAATAAACAATCTTGTCCTTTGGACTCACTTTGGATAGTTTAATAATTCATAGGCTATCAATATAATTAAAAAAAAGAACTAAAACTCATTCTCTTAAAAAATTAGATTTTCAAATAGAGACATTCAATTTGAGACGGAGGAAATATTATAACCTCATATGCGAAATATTTAAGATCCAAACAATCCGGACCATTGATCGAGTAATATTACTGAATTTTTCTCTAGTATCTTTATTCAAGTTTACTAATATCTTGAAGTAATTTTAATGAGTTTGGGAAAAGCCTTTTATTTATTTATTTATTTTTCGTAACACATGTTTAACCATGCGTTGTCCCTAAATCTGAAAATCTTAGGCCAAATTTGTGTTTTTCCATTTTTCAACAAACTTTCAAAGTTAGCCAATAAAGTGTTTACAAGTGTATTCACCAAATCTTAGTTAATGAAATTTTATTATTTGTGGAAGAAATCAATTTTAATTTAGGCAAGCATACCAAATTCAATTTAGGTAAATACTGTAGTGGCAAATTCTTTTCCAACAAGTTACATACCGTTTTCATGAGTTTACCAAATTTATTCACTAAAATAGCCATGAATGACATGGACATTATTACTACGTATGGTCACTTCTCTTGTGTTTAGATTGCTATAATTTTGAAAGTAATCTTTGGCCTAATACTTGAAGGGTTGGGCTCGATTCGACTTTGGAGCTCATCACACTCTAATTATGTGTAATATGGGCTTATTTTTATCCAAGTGATAAGTATTAAAATTGATACATTATCTGAATTCAGACCTTGCCGACAAGATATAATGTGAGTCATATAAGTTCCAACTTATAAAATGTTAGTGATTGTGCCTACATCCAACTCACATATTCCCCTCTTTGGGTTATAAACTAAAAGTACTAAAAAAACGCGTGAAATTGCTAAAGGAGGAGTTTATTAGTTTTGTAGAGGCATTTTTTTTCAAAAAATATGAGTAATGATATTTGCACCGATTACTTAGGTATTTGATTGATTAATACAAGCCAAATATATAAAATTGGACCATTCACTTCCTTATGTAATGCATTAATAACCAATCATACGTAATAAGACTAACAATTCCGCCTAAATAATCAGTGCAAGTATCATTATTCAAAATATATATATAAATAAACTTACTCATAATGGATAATTTTTATGGGTTTGTATACCACAATTTAATGAATAAAATTATGAAAAACTGTTTTTTTAAATATCTGTGTATAATGTTTTAATTTTCAATTTTATGGACTTTTTTTATTAAAAAATTGATTAAAAATTCAATTGATTGAATAAAAAAAAAAAACATTAGAAAGCATCACGGACTAATAGACTAATAGGTGTTCACTTTGGTTGCCCCACCTGGATAATAGGGTCACGGTCCGGGTCTTCATTGCCATGTGTCAGATTCGGATAGGAATAGGATCATAGGACACATCACACAATTTGAAATATTTGAAAATAATATTTAATTTATCGGTTTCTGATAATTTAAATGATATCCATACGTCATCTCATTTCGTATATATATCATGGCGATATATTTGGTGCTACCTTGAGTCACCTACTACTTCCGCTAACCATATTTTTCTTCCGTTTTTAACAAAAAAATATATATATTTTTCTTCCGCGTTAAGATATCACCACGTGGCGTATTTAGGCTCTGCCTTTTCATGCACGTGCTTTGACCGGTGTTAGAAGGATTTAATTCCATGCATCTCATGAATATAAGTTTTAATACGGTGAGGATTACATGATCTCTATCAATCATAATTTAATAATAAATATATTATTTTTTATTTAAATTTTTACTTACATGTCATGATTAAGACAATATAATAACAGACAATGTAATAGTTTCTGTGAACGAACACTCCTAATAAGTTCGATTATCTCTCAACGAGATCACTCTCATAGCTGAATAGTGACTTAATCTTTTGACTACATGGTAAGTGCTCGATCCATTTCAGAGAAGGTAAAATATTTAACTTTAATTTGCAACACATACTACGTAGAAGGAATTTTCTGCACAGTCTCACATATGATATTACGTCATTCATATCAATTTAGGGCTGATTACGAATCGGATCGGTTAAGTTTTGGATAAAATTCAAACTAATTCGATCCTCATAGATTGGCTAAATCTGAAACCAAACCGATTTGTGGGGACTCTCAATCCGAACAAAACCTGGGCCTTCCATGAGAGACTGTGAGCAGAGCAGTGGGTTTATGAGATCGGATGAGAATTGACAGGGAGGCCAGAAACGCATGCAAATGAAAGGAATATAAAAATTAAAAAGTATAAAACACTAAATGTAATGCCCTGATATTTTAAAGGATTTATTAATTGGGATTAATAACTTTTATTTTATTTTTAAATGATTTGTTTGATTTAATTGTGATTAATTATTTTTATTTTATTTTTAAATGATTTGTTTTATTTAATTGAGTGTTTAGATTAATTGTCCTATTTTAATTAGATTATATTTCGTGATTATATTTATTGAATTGATATGATGATTGTTGTGTATGTATTTGATTATTGATTGAATTGTTAGCGTGTTGATTTTGTAGGCATGGATGAGTTGTTAAAGGTGTAAATATATTGCCTTATTATTTGTATGAATAAATACATACATAAGAAGTATGGATGAGTTGCTAATTTAAAAGTATAAATATATATATTTGTGGAGGCATGGTTGAATTGCCAATGTATAAATAAATATATTTAAAGAAGGCATGATTGAATTGTCAATATATAAATAAGTATATTTAAATGGCATGTTTGATTTGTCAAAGCGTAATTAAATTGCTATGTATTAGATGATTGAAATTTCATCTAAAGTTATTATATGTATAGGTTGGATTAAGATCAGATATTCTTAAATTAGAATAATCTAGTAATTGTAGGTTAGTGTGTTATTTTATGTATATTAATAAAATAATATTGGTGGAGACATAGATGATTTGTCAAAGCCTAAATACTGACTGTGTGATTTAAATAATTAAATCATCATTAGGCTTTGGATTAAATATAATATTCATTTAATTGTATTTTATTGTTTAAATGATTAACTAACTGTCTAGGATGTGATTAAGGTTAATGAATTTTTCTTTAAAAGAAATGATGGATTGGTTTAGGTATGATTATTATTTAATCATTGTTAATGATTTTGGAATTAACGAACCTAGTAATAAATGTGACTGTTATATTATATATAATTAATTATATATATGTATATCATTGTACATTAAAAATAAAAAATAAAACTTTATTAGGATTAGCTTGGTCA